TAAGTTAGAGAACGGAAACTAAATATTTTGCAATTTTTCCATTTATAAAGGGGCATAACTCTAGAATTGTTAGAGTGATGCTACCAAAATTGAAACTTGATCTGTATTTATTGGTAATAAGCATTGTGTATAAGTTTCATAACATTTGGTTGAGGTAAACTTAAGTTAGAGAACGGAAACTAAAAATTTTGCAATTTTTCCATTTATAAAGGGGCATAACTCTAGAACAGTTAAAGTGATACCACCAACTTTCAAACTTGATCTGTGTTTTGTGGTAATAAGCATTGTGTATAAGTTTCATAACATTTGGTTGAGGCAAACTCAAGTTAGAGAATGGAAACCAATTTTGGGACGTACGTACGGACGGACATTCGTACATACAGACAGATAAGGGTAAAACTTAATGCCCCCTCCGCTACGACAGGGGCATAAAACTAGAGGCTCTCAAGAGCCTTTGTCGCTCACCTGTATTTACTGATGCTTTGGAAATCATGTAAAATATGGTTAAAATCATAATTAATAGTATTAGATATTAGATATTATAATGATATCTAAGATAATAACAAACTAGAGGCTCTCAAGAGCCTGTGTCGCTCTCCTGTATTTACTGATGCTTTGGGCAATTACCCCCAAACTCATTTCCAGCTTTCCCTTTGTGATATGGAACCTTGAAGTACAATTTTATAAAGATCCATACACTTACACACAAGTTATTGTCATGAAACTATGACAAAAACTATGACGAAACTAGAAAAATGCTTGTTTTTTGCCCCTTTTTTGGCCCCTAATTCCTAAAATTTAGAGGAAATTACCCCCAAAATCAATCCAAGCCTTCCCTTTGTGATATGGTACCTTGCAGTACAATTTCAGAGAAATCCATACACTCGAACACAAGTTATAGTCTGGAAACTAGAAAAATGCTTAATTTTTGGCCCCTTTTTCCTAAACGTTATGGGCAATTACCCCCAAACTCAATTCCAGCTTTCCCTTTGTGATATGGAACCTTGTAGTACAATTTCATTAAGATCCATACACTTACACACAAGTTATTGTCATGAAACTAGAAAAATGCTTGTTTTTTGCCCCTAATTCCTAAAATTTTGAGGCAATTACCCCCGAAATCAATCCCCGCATTCCCTTTGTGACATGGAACCTTGTGGTACAATGTCAGAGAGATCCATACACTAACACACAAGTTATGTCTGGAAGTTACAATAAACTGCTTCGCTGAGCGCAGCTAGATACACCCGCAGCGGTCCAACCCTGAATAGTTTGGGCAAAAATGGACACAATATTCAAGCTTGATTCAGGTCTGAATTTGGATTGTAATTAAATATTTGACATATTATAGGTTTCTGAATAAATGTAGTCAAAGATCTTGAAATCGGTTATATGAATTGAATTTATATTCTATTAAAGATTTCTTGCTGTTGTGCAATACTTAGTAAATCTGTTGTCAGACTATAAACAAATAAAGTTCAATTAATTCTCAATGTCATATTTGAAATTTATGAAAATAAAAAGGGAGCTTACATCAATAGATATAAACAATTCACCAAAGTTTCATGAGAATTGGTGGCAGCATTTTTGAGTTATTGTCCGAAAACTGGAAAATCACCCCTTTTTTAATGAATAAAACCCCATAACTCAGAAATGTAAAATGTAAAATTTATAAAATTCGAAAGGGAGCTTACATCAATACATACAAACAATTCACCAAAGTTTCATAAGACTTGCTAAAAGCATTTTTGAGTTATTGTCCGAAAAACTGGAAAATCCCCCTTTTTTTATGAATAAAACCCTGTAACTCGGAAACGTAAAATCTAAAATTTATAAAAATCAAAAGGGAGCTCATGTCAATAGATATATACAATTCACCACAATTTCTTGCAAGTTGGTGAAAGCATTCTTGACTTATTGTCCAAAAACTGGAAAATCCCCCTTTTTTTAATGAATAAAACCCCATAACTCGGAAACATAAATCTAAATTTTATAAAAAACGAAAGGGAGCTCACGTCAATAGATATAAACAATTCACCAAAGTTTTATGCAAATTGGTTAAAGCATTTTTGAGTTAATGTCCAACATGTTGACGACGGACAGACGGACGGACGGACAACGATATACCATAATACGTCCCAAAAACGGGCGTATAAAATGCTCATTTTTGGCCCCTTATTCCTTAACTGTTGGTACCATAACCCCCAAAATCAATCCCAACCTTCCTTTTGTGGTATTGAACCTTATGGTAAAATTTCATAGAAATCCATTCACTTAAACTAAAGTTAGAGTGCGAAAACTAATGTGTCTTCGGACGACGACGACGCCAACGTCATACCAATATACGACCACAAAAATTTTCAAATTTCTGTAAAATTACTAACTCAGGGGCAGCAATTCAACAACGGGTTGTCGGATTCGTCTGAAAATTTCAGGGCAGATAAATCTAAATCTGATGAACATTTTTGCCACTTGTCAGATTTGCTCTAAATGCTTTAGTTTCAGAGATATAAACCAATAAAATGCTCCGCAGGGCGCAGCTTGATACGACCGCAGAGGTCGAACCCTGAACAGTTGGGGCAAGTATGGACACAACATTCAAGCTTGATACAGCTTTGCATTTGGATTGTGATTAAATTTTGACACAGCATAGGTTTCTGACACAGAATGAATGTGGTCTAAAAACTTAAAAATTTTAAATTGGACATTCACCTATTATGGTCCAATATCCAAAATCTAAATACATGGTTAGATTCAGCATATCAAAGAACCCCAAGAATTCAATTTTTGATGAAATCAAACAAAGTTTAATTTTGGACCCTTTTGACCTCAATGTGGACAAAGTTGATAACGGGGCCCAAAAATCAAAAATCTAAATACATGGTTAGATTCAGCATATCAAAGAACCCCATATATTCAATTTTTGTTGAAATCAAACAAAGTTTAATTTTGGACCCCGATTTGGACCAACTTGAAAACTGGGCCCATAATCAAAAATCTAAATACATGTTTAGATTCAGCATATCAAAGAACCCTAAGAATTCAATTTTTGTTAAAATCAAACTAAGTTTAATTTTGGACCCTTTGGACCTTAATGTAGACCAATTTGAAAACGGAACCGAAAATTAAGAATCTAAATACACGGTTAAATTCGGCATATCAAAGAACCCCAATAATTCAATTTTTGATGAAATCAAACAAAGTTTAATTTTGGACCCTTTGGACCTCAATGTGGACCAATTTAAAAACGGGGCCCAAAATCCAAAAACTAAATACACGGTTAGATTCAGCATATTAAAGAACCCCAAGAATTCAAGAATAAAACCCCATTGAAATTGGTTAAGAAATAACCAACTTAAAATGGAAAATTTTAAAAGAAAAAAAAAGGAAAAAAAGAAAAAAAAAATCCCCCCCCCCCCCCAATTTTTTGAACCCCCTTATGATTCATCACCCCCAAACTCAATCCTAGCCTTCCCTTTGTGGTATGGTACCTTGCAGTACAATTTCAGAGAGATCCATACACTTGAACACAAGTTATTGTCTGGAAACTAGAAAAATGTGTTTTTTGGCCCCTTTTTTTGCCCCAAATTCCTAAAATATTGAGGCAATTACCCCCATCATCAATCCAAGCCTTCCCTTTGTGGTATGGTACCTTGCAGCACAATTTCAGAGAGATCCATACACTTAAACACAAGTTATCGTCTTGAAATTAGAAAAATGCTTGTTTTTTTGCCCCTTTTTGGCCCCTAATTCCTAAAATATTGAGGCAATTACCCCCATCATCAATCCCAGCCTTCCCTTAGTGGTATGGTACCATGCAGTACAATTTCAGAGAGATCCATACACTTGAACACAAGTTATTGTATGGAAACTAGAAAAATGCTTATTTTTGGCCTTTTTGGTCCCCAATTCCTAAACGTTTCGGCAATTACCCCCAAACTCAATTCCAGCTTTCCCTTTGTGATATGGAACCTTGTAGTACATTTTCAGAAAGATCCATACACTTCTACACAAGTTATTGTCATGAAACTAGAAAAATGCTTGTTTTTTGCCCCTTATTTGGCCCCCAATTCCTAAAATTTTGAGGCAATTACCCCCAATATCAATCCCAGCATTCCTTTTGTGATATGGAACCTTGTGGTACAAAGTCAGAGAGATCCATACACTAACACAAAAGTTATGTCTGGAAGTTACAAAAATGCTTATTTTTGGCCCCTAATTCCTTTACTGTTGGTACCATAACCCCCAAATTCAATCCCAACCTTCCTTTTGTGGTATTGAACCTTGTGGTAAAATTTCATAGAGATCCATTCACTTAAACTAAAGTTAGAGTGCGAAAACCAATGTGTCTTCGGACGACGACGACGACGCCAACGTCATACCAATATACGACCACAAAAATTTTTTTGCGGTTGTATAAAAACTGCATTTTACCCCTATGTTCTATTTTTAACCAAGTCGGCCATAATGGTTGGAAGGCGGGGTCATCGGACAAATTTTTTAAACTAGATACTCTAATAATGATTATGGCCAAGTATGGTTAAATTTGTCTCAGTAGTTCCAGAGAGGAAGATTTTTGTAAAAGATTACAAAAATTTACGAAAAATTGACTATAAAGGGCAATAACTCCTAAAGGGGTCGACTGACAATTTTGGTCATGACAACTTATTTGTAGGTCTTACTTTACTGAACATTATTGCTGTTTACAGTTTATCTCTATCTATAATAATATTCAAGATAATAACCAATAAAATGCTCCGCTGGGCGCAGCTTGATACGACCACAGAGGTCGAACCCTGAACAGTTGGGGCAAGTATGGACACAACATTCAAGCTTGATATAGCACTGAATTTGGATTGTGATTAAATATTTGACATAGCAAAGGTTTCTGACACAGAATGAATGTGGTCTAAGAACTAACATATCATTATTATTTGCTTTTATATATAAATCAGAAATAACCAATTTAAAATGGAAAATTTTAAAGAAAAAATCCCCCCTTAAATTTTTTGAACCCCCTTATGATTCATCACCCCAAACTCAATCCCAGCCTTCCCTTTGTGTTACAATGTATGGTGCCTTGCAGTACAATTTCAGAGAGATCCGTACACTTGAATACAAGTTATTGTCTGGAAACTAGAAAATGCTTGTTTTTTTGCCCCTTTTTGGCCCAAAATTCATAAACGTTTAGGGCAATTACCCCCAAACTCAAACCCAGCTTTCCCTTTGTGATATGGAACCTTGTTGTACAATTTCATAAAGATCCATACACTTACACACAAGTTATTGTCCTGAAACTAGAAAAATGCTTGTTTTTTGGCCCCCAATTCCTAAAATTTTGAGGTAATTACCCCCAAAATCAATCCCAGCCTTCCCTTTGTGGTATGGTACCTTGCAGTACAATTTCAGAGAGATCCATACACTTGAACACAAGTTATTGTCTGGAAACTATAGAAATGCTTACTTTTGGCCCCTTATTCCTAAACATTTTGGGCAATTACCCCCAAACTCAATTCCAGCTTTCCCTTTGTGATATGGAACCTTGTAGTACAATTTCAGAAAGATCCATACACTTACACACAAGTTATTGTCATGAAAATAGAAAAATGCTTGTTTTTTGCCCCTAATTTCTAAATTCTAAAATTTTGAGGCAATTACCCCCAAAATCAATCCCAGCATTCCCTTTGTGATATGGAACCTTGTGGTACAATGTCAGAGAGATCCATACACTAACACACAAGTTATGTCTGGCAGTTACAAAAATGCTTATTTTTGGCCCCTAATTCCTTAACTGTTGGTACCATAACCCCTAAAATCAATCCCAACCTTCCTTTTGTGGTATTGAACCTTATGTTCGGACGACAACGCCAATGTCATACCAATATACGACCACAAAATTTTTTTTGCGGTGGTATAAAAACTGCAAAATTTCCTTAAAATTACCAATTCAGGGACAGCAACCCAACAACAGGTTGTCAGATTTGTCAGAAAATTTCAGGGCAGATACATCTTGACCTGATAATCAGTTTTACCCTGTCAGATTTACTCTAAATGCTTTGATTTCAGAGATATAAGCCAAAATATACATTTTACCCTTATGTTCTATTTTTAGCCATGGCGGCCATCTTGGTTGGTTGGCGGGGTCATCGGACACATTTTTTAAAATAGATACCCTAATGATGATTGTGGCCAAGTTTGGTTAAATTTGGCCCAGTGGTTTCAGAGGAGAATATTTTTGTAAAAGTTTACGGACGACGGACGCCAAGTGATGAGAAAAGGGTGAGCTAAACAGAGAAAAATTTAACAATTTTTCCATTTGTAAAGATAAACTGTAGAACAGTAAAAGTAACGGCACCAAAATTCAAACTTGATCTGTATATTGTGGTAATAAGCATTGTGTATAAGTTTCATAACATTTGGTTGAGGCAAACTTAAGTTAGAGAATGGTCCATTTGAAAAGGAGCATAACTCTAGAACGGTAAAAGTGACGCCACCAAAATTCAAACTTGATCTGTATTCAGTGGTAATAAGCATTGTGTATAAGTTTCATAACATTTGGTTGAGGCAAACTAAAGTTAGAGAACCGAAACCAACTTTGGGACGTACGGATGGACAAGGGTAAAACTTAATGCCCCCTCCGCTTTGGCGGGGGCATAAAAAACCCCAAGAATTCAGGACTGAATTAAACCCCATTGAAATTGGTCAAGAAATAAGCAGTTTATACAAGAATTAGAAATTTTGCAGTCGTATAAAAACATTACTATCTGCAAAATAGTTTGAAAATGAACACTTTAGCCAGAGGGTTCTGCATAAACCATCAGAATATCACTATTTAGGTCTTGAAATATTTCAGGTATGTATGATGGAAGCTGCTTTGATTATCAAATAATTCAAGGTATTGCAGTTATTTATTTAGAAATAATCCCTTCAAGTTCATGTCATGCTCTATGCTCATTTTGACATGGTAGTCAATACACGTCATTATATTTGTCAATATTTTACACTGAGCAGTCGATTCTAATTGGATAAATACCTTAGGAATATTTGGCTGTTCCCATTTCCTTCCCATGAAGTATGTAGATTACTTTTTCATATTTAACATGTTAAATAAAGAGCTGCACAATGAGCGCATGATATGCCCGTCGCTTTTTAAAAGAATAAAGTTGCAAAACTCCTCAATGTCATATCAGAAATTTATAAAAAAATTGAAGGGAGGTTATTTTAAAAACAGTCACTAAAGTTTCATGAAAACTGATCAAAGCACTTTTGAGTTATTGTCCGAAAAACTGGAAAATCCCCCCTTGTTCATGAATTAATCCCATAACTCTGAAACATAAATTCTAAGATTTATAAAAATCGAAAGGGAGATTACGTCAAGATATAAACAATTCACCAAAGTTTCATGCAAATGGGTTACAGCGTTCTTTAGTTATTGAAGAGGGATGGAAAGACAATGGTATACCATAATACGTCCCGTAAACAGGCGTATAAAAACTAATAGCAGGGAATAAAATATATGATGTTTTTATAACATTACATAATAAAATTTTATATAAGCAGCTAAAATATACATATTTTATTAGGATAAAATGAAAATAACGAGAATGTAAACAGTAAATTTATGCGCGTGTCAAAAATATTTGTGCTTATTAGAACTCGGCTTTGTTTACAAAGCATAATTAAGACGTCATATTATTATTTAATTTAGAATCATGAAATAAAATTGTTTATTTCAATCCTGTTCCTATTTCAGTAGGTGTTGCAATGTCTGGAAACAATTTGCAACAAGACAACCCATGAATCATTTTGTTTCAAGTTTCATTTTTAGGTGGGTCAAGTTTTATCAAGACAGATTTAAATTTTCGTCACAGCCAGTGAGCTAGATAAATAAATAAAGCAATTAAATCTCAATGAATTCAATTTATTTCTGATACAATGTATCTATTGTTGTTAAGTCCTAGTAAACTTTGACTTCTTGTTTCTGGCCTGCTTCTCTTGTATGATTCTTTGCCAGATAATCAGTGAATTCCTGGTATGGAGACTTGGTGAAAGTGGTTTCTTTCCACAAATCAGGAGTCAGGTAAGCATAGGTATTGGCTATAGCTGCATATGTTGCCTTGGCTGAAAAATAAATTTGAAAAAATTTAATAAAGGATGTCAAAGGCAAAATGACAAATGGTATATTTCTGCAAGAACCCCCCCCCCCCCCCCCACCCCCAAAAAAAAAATATCCATTGCATGTTTAATGGATCTCTATCAAAGGTATCTAAAGGTTTTATTGCAATATCATGCTATTTGATATTGATATTTTAGCAAGGTATGAGATAATTTCAAAATACAATTTTCAATTTAAATTTCTGTAAATTGAAAATTTCTTGCTTGTTGTAGCTCCTTTATCTTTGTTTAAATATTTACTGTGCCAATTATAACTATAGTGTATTCAACTTATAAGAATGAATTTTCTGAAATCTATTGTAAGCTCAACTTATTTTTCCTTATTTGATTATTTTGGGAGTTTAATTAATAAGCACAGTAATAAAAGTTTTGGGTTAATGCAATAATTATATTCAGCACATATAGTAGCTTGCATGTTAGCCTTTAAACAAACAGTGCATCACATGACAGTATCATAGCCAATGTTGTCCATATTCAATTGACAGAACACTTACCGAAGTTGCCAAGTGTTGCTGTACAACCTCTAGCTGAAGTGTAGCAATCCTCAATACCAGCCATGTTCAACAGTTTCTTAGGAACTGGAGCACTGACAATGCCTGTTCCTCTGGGGGCTGGGATAAGTCTTACAGTTACACTGCCACATTTACCAGTAACCTGTAAAAGTACAATTTATTCTATACGTCTCAAAAATTTCTTTAAAAAGTCTCTAGCATTGCCTAGATATTTTCATGGTAGATAAAATTGTTCTCCCCGATTTATTTATACAGGGTTCAAGACCATTTTTAAGTTCATGCACAATCTAGCCAGGGCTACTTTCACAGAATGAACTTTGTACAATTTATATACCATAAACTCTTTCAATTTGTTTAAAAAAGGTCACAAACTTGTATCAAATGTTCATGTCTAATGTATCTTATAATTAGAAAGAAAATATTACATCAGGTTTTTGTATTATATTATGTACACAACTTTAAATATTTAGAAATAAGAGATATATAAATTTAAACTGTTAATCGCCCCATACTAACAGGCACAAACTCCCACTCTGTTCCAGGCACTCTAAACTAAAGTAAGAATTCAAGGGTTTAAATTTGTTTTCAATAATGAAAAGTCCAGGACCATTCGAAATCTTCAGTGAAATGTCCTCCACAAGAAATTCAATGGTCCTGTATAAAGCATTGGTGTAAAGAATGGTAGGTCCCTGAATTAAAATCTAACAATAAAAAGCCCCCTCCTAAAAAGGATAGGTCCTAGACCTACCTGGGACCAACACTTAATTTGAACCCCTGCAATTCGACACAATTTTGAGAAGACGCATGGACATGATTCCTATATACCCCCCTCCCCCCTTTTTTCCACAAGTAAATTTGAATCCTTTTATAAGAGTAAAATGTGCTAGAGTCATTAATGGTTTCTATTGGTATTTAATTATTACTCTTGGTTTAGACTACACAACCTACCTTGCATGGTACAGTATGAGGTTTACCAATCTTGTTACCCCAATATCCTCTCCTGACAGGGATGACAGACAATTTAGCCAAGATGATGGCTCCTCTAATGGCTGTTGCCACTTCCTTTGAGCATTTTACACCCAAACCAACATGACCATTATGATCTCCAATAGCAACAAAAGCCTGTAATAAATATCACATAGAAATGTCATCCATTCCTATCACCTCCATTTCTTACTTTTACAGTCTTCACGCTGAACCACAGGCCCAGTAGCTCAGGCTTGTAAAATGCTCTCGGGCCTGTAAAAATCATATCTACAGGCCAACAGAATCGAACTAAAATTTTCCAAAAATTGAGCTCCGGGCCTGTAGATTTTGAAGTTCATCATGAAGACTGCTTTTAGATAATATATGATTAACATTTGAACTTCTTGGTGTCTTGTGAATCATTTAATTATTCATTTTTATTCTTAAATAAGGATAATTTGAAAAGAAAATTTGTCACTTCCAAAACCTAAAGGTCCGATTGTGTTAATAAAAAAGATTTTTTTTTTGCATTATAAATAAATACATTAGGATTTAATGTCAACTATTATTGACCTCTGGTCACTTCAATGAAAAATTTAAAAGGCAGTGGATAAAATCCTTGATATCAAAACTATATAGAAATAACAGTTGGAACTATTATGGAGTTCTCATGACAGTTAAAATAGTTGATAGTAATTCAACCTTTACATATTTCAAATGAACTTTTTTTTAATAGTGATACACCTTGAATAAAGCTTAAGATATTGTTTTCTATTCAGTGTCATCTTTTAATTCAATAGACTCTTGCAACTTTTATTCATTAAATGCAAAAGCATTATAACTGGGTGACTTTTTTTCCAGCTGTAGTCAATAAATGACCTTACCTTGAACCTAGTTCTCTGTCCGGCTCTGGTCTGTTTCTGTACTGGCATAATCTTCAAAACTTCATCCTTAAGTGTACTTGGGAAGAAGAAATCAATGATTTCACATTCCTAGATAAAAAAATTCAAAATCAAAGAAATTCCCAATTTTCCTACAAGTACTAAAATAAACATAACATTCAATAAAATCAAGTGATATATAAATTTCTTAAGCTGCTTAAATATTTACTAAATAAATTCATATATCACTGAATGACATGCTTTAATCTGAAATGATAATGTTATTGTCATGTCGATTGTGTAGGCCCTTTGGGGGCCTTAATTGAAATAAGATATTCTTCTTCTCTCAGACTCTGTACATGTAAATGTCAATTGTCATATCAATTTTTAAAACTTTTTTGTTTCAGTAAAACTTTATAACACACCTCAGGTAAAAAGGAACATCATGACCCACATACATAAAATAATACCCTTTCATGCATGAGCATTACGACAATTTGAAACAAACCTTAATTGGCAAAGAAAATAGATAGATTTCTTCTAGAGACTTGATCTTCATGTCTTTCACAAGACGTCCCAGTTTGGTAACAGGCATCCATTCCTTATCTCCATCTTTATTTCCACGTCCTCTACCTCTTCCACGACCACGTCCACGCCCTCTTCCTCTACCCCTACCACGTTCTCCTGACCCAAAACCACCTCTGAATCCTCCTCTATCGCCTCCTCTACCACCGGCTGGTGCTGCTGCTGGTGCGTCCGCCATTGCTGTTTAAATTAGAATCACCATCATTAGAAAAATATTATTATCTGCAAAATCACTTCTCTTTTATTACATGTACATTGGCATTTTAGTCAACATATCATTTTAATTGAGAATACATGTTCAGGGTTTTTTTCAAGAGCTTTAAAGTTTGCGGAATAAAATAAAATAGCACAAAACCCTAATACTGGCATTAGATTATCATCAGAACAAAGAAAGGCAACCCTATATTTAACCGGTAGATACCAAGAATTTGCACAAGTCATTAAACTTAAGGTTCATCATAGTTGGACATAAGCAGCTGTGTTTTTACACCTCGGAGTATAGCCAAACCTGTGATGAAGGAAACATTTTTAAGGCCTGGCAGCACAGGTATACAAAATTTAAATACTGTTAGTGTTTCAGAAGTGGAGACATCTCAAATATTTTTCCTAACTTTGCATGTTTATACACCTTTTTTAGCTTATTGGGTGGGAAATCCCCATAAATTCTATCCTAATAACTTCTTAACTTAATAAGCACCTACATAGGTGAAGACTTTATTAATTGCACAGGTTGTTAAGAGTAAATTGTGAAGTGTAAAAACATAGCGGTTTAGGAGTTATACAACAGGTCAATAACCACCAATTGACGTATAATCCACCAATTGACATATAATGGTATAGACCAATTGACGTATAATTCTTTGTTTTTCAAAGCAAATTATTCAACCAAAATGGAGCATTGTTTTCTTAAAATCATATTATTGTATGAAAACATGTCAAACATTCCTAGTTTATTATAGTGACATAACATATTGCATTTAATCTATAATTGTATTTGCAGTTTCTTCTATCGTTATCTTGTCAATTCTTGATTGGCAAATTTACCACTAATCACCTGTCAATGGACATTAATACTGTCTGCAGTCATGTGATTATGAGTACAACTCCACAGGTGAATGGAGCTCTTTGTTAATACTTGACTTTCATTATTAAAAGTCAATCATGGTCAATAGTACAGATGTTTCAACAAAAGAATTGTTGTACACATGCATTCTCAAGAGATGCAGCAGGCTTTGACAATATTGAAACTTTCGAAAGACTCAATAATGGTCATAAAATAGGTTGTAAGTTGCAAAATGATGCTCCTATCTCACACTAGCATTTTATAACAAAAATACTTGCATTATACGTCAATTGGTCTATACCAATATATGTCAATTGGTGGATTATACGTCAATTGAGGTATAATCCACCAATTGGTGGTTATTCCTGACCTGTACAATGGATTGGGCAATTCTGAATACATCTATCTGTCAAATTTTGTTGTCAGAAGAAATTATATGTCTGCCATAATCCCTTTTGGCCTTTAGTGGCCAAATCAGACAATCACTCCGGGCTTGGGATCAAATTTCTCATATCCAATGCTGTAGATTCCTAAACATTAATATAATCTACAGTAACTACCGCCCCCCCAAAAAAATGTTCACAATGCCTGAATGGGTACCAGGCTCTTTCAAGGAAATTTATGTTGGTAGTTAGGACTTGCCATGTTCTGATCAAACTGTATAGACACTAACCGACAAACTTACAAGTCAAAGAAATGGTATAAAGCCATTTAAAAGATATATTAACCAAATTAAATGACACCACCAGTGTCTAAGGGATGGACCATGGTATGAAAAGCACATTTATTCCTCTGTAAAGCAACTATTTTCATTGAGAGTGTATATAAGTCATAAAATCATGCTTATAAATTCAATTTACAAAACTGATTTCAATTCAAACATTATATTTCACGATGATTATTTGAGATTTAAAAGAGACATATTTTTAGCATTGATACCGACGTGATAATTTAACCGGAAAAGGAAGTAAATGATTGAGTTCTCGGACTGATAGATAAAACCCGAGACTAACAGAAGTGAGCTGGACTGAGAAGACTCTTGAGCCTACTACTAACTAGGTCTTGAATTTTGTGTAGTTTAACTTTATTGAGTCTGTGTATACTGACGAAAATAAAACCATTGAATAACAGTTCGAGTTCAATTACATTTAAAACTCGAACAAAATTTCACTTGTAGTAAACGTCAGTAATTACAAACACGAAGAAAAATTAAGAAATCATGTTCTTCAAAATTTCCCCAACTGTAGAGGTTAACTCCCTTTCTATAATTTTTTGTGTTGAATAAATATCAAGATCAGTTAGACATTATCAAGAGAAACTGACCTTTAGTTCCTGATGAGCTCCTTATATTATAAAGGTTATTGGTGCATGTTTTTGTTTTATTTATCATCACACTTTTTCGTTAATCATGTAAACAAATTTGAGAGAAATCATATGAAGGTAGGAATGCCCTGTATTGACAAGCTTCAAACTTCCGTTTTTCGCTACTTTAATCGTCAAATGAGCTTTAAATTTTATTCATCATTCGTCAAATCTAATTTTGTAGCTATTGTTAGCGTCAAATGGAGTAAAATGTTTATCGTTAATATTATTTTAACAAATATTTTACTGTTATTTGTTATGTGGGGTACTCCATTCCTACCCTCTCATATGCTCCTCTGATTCAAAGGAGTATGTTCGATAAAGGTCATGTATATAGACTCAATTATTAAGTTGAATTTTTCAAGTTAAAAAATGTCTTAAATTGATGAAAAGACATATAAGAAAGTTAGATAGACCTGTTCTTGTCAAAGTATTTTTTTAAAGCATTGAATTTTACATCCAAAGTAGACCAAAAATTTTTGCTAAATTTGGCAAAAGTGTCTGTACATGTATTTCAACCAAATGTAGGTCTAGGAAACAAGATAAAGCATACCTGTCAACCTATGACAATGAAAATGCAGGTGATGACCTGCATAGAAGAATGAAATCTCAGGTAATAACGCGTACGAACTTTTTCGAGCTGAAATTCAGTATTAAGGGGACATTTTTCTTATGATTTATATCAAAGTTTCCAAAACATGTCCACAGAGTTAAGTAATTTAAAATTGTACATATTATTATTTCATTGCACCTGGAGGCCATTGATAGATTTGGGTTATATTGCCTTAATTCCTGTTCATATTCTTTCCATGATATACAATGTGCCAATTTGTGTTTTCTTTACATATATTTGTGCAGCGTTTAAAGATTGAAACCCATGATATTAGAGTATAATAAAAAAAAAGTTAAACAATTAAAGGAGACGAAAAAAGTAATTTTCAAATTTTTTATTTTTTAATTGTTCTAAGGTAGAAACAATAGTAAAAGTATTATTCTGATATGTTTGCGCATTCAATTCATTTTAGATTTAATCTTTTTACAAAAAAAAACATAAGTTTAAGGAGTATATTGTATATTGGCAAAAAAGGGGAAGTAACTCAAGTTGTTTTTAAATTTTTTAAACAACTTTGAAATACACAAATTATTTACGACCTAAAGCTAAGGTAATTGGTGTTAATTAACAGTGTGTTTGACATCAAAACTGTCAAGTGAAGCCATGCACTGAAATGGGTCAGTTGAGCTGAGTTTACACAGCTTGTTGAACTTCTTGTCCAGGAAGAATTACGAATTTGCCGGTATTTCATTGAAATCACTTTATATCTAATCAGTCTGAAGGCTAAGGAATCTGGGTGAAAACGGGTTATTTTCCGAACTCCCGGGTTATTTGGTCACCCAACGTGTGTTCCGGGTGACCCCTCAGAATTGTGAAAATCTCGGGTCACACCCGCAGGATCCGGGTCAGTTGACAGGTATGAGATAAAGTGCAGTCGTACACAAACTTAATATTCCAGCCAGATATTTGAAATGTTATAACAAACATTATGAACAAGGAATTATTTGAATCTGGAATAATTTTGAATTCTAGAAAGTTGACTATAATGAAAACTAACCCAACTAAATAGGGTTAGCCATGCACGCATGGCTAAGGTTCAGGTTACTTTCACTAATAGTTCAGTATGAACTAACTAACCCCCCTTAGCCATGCTTGCACGTCTAACCCTCCTAAATTGGGTTAGATTTCATCATACATTTCTTATCAATTTTCCAGAATTCAAAATTATTCCAGATTCAAATAATTCCTTGTTTATGCTAAAAGATCTTTTTTGTCAACGCATGCGCTATACCTTTCCAGTCTTAAAAAATTAATGGAAATTAACCCGTTTTCATTGAATTTTCATTGAAAATCAAATTGAGTGCTATTTGTGATGTCAAGTACATAAATTTTAAACAAAAAGACATATTTCCTATCCAGTTATTATTACATGTATATTAGCTATGACTCATTGTGATATTGGTCAATTAATCCTAGTTTGAAATTGTAGCCAGAAATACATGTAGGGCCTTATCGAAAATACATTGTACTCCTTTGCAGTAAATTGTTTTCTGCTTTAAGATGTTGTACGAAAAATCCAGAAAAACAAACAGCAAAAAAAAAAATTTCCACCATGGTGTTGAACTTTAAGGCTTTTTAATATGATAGTAGTACCCACTGTATACTAAAATCGTCCCCTCTACCATTTTTTGCTCCCTTCAGGTGCATATTTAAGCATTATTCAAGAGTAGACTAGACTAATGAGACATAAGCTATTTATTAGTTATGTAACTCCTTGGCTGAAATGGTTAACAAAGCAATAGATATAAAACATAATGCATCACAAGTCAATTTTAGTTTCAGAATCTTGCCTACAATGTATGAGTAATTTTATTGTTGTACCCCTAAATTAAAATAACGTCCCATTATTGGTTACATATTAATTATTTTGGAGGTTAAAAACAAATCACAATGTTATGTGTAGAAAAGCCATGAATAATTTCTCAATGTACATGTATAGCATTCAAGTCAGAGTTTCAAGTTACTGACCCCCCTCTTATATTTTATCAATCATGTTTTTATACGACCGCAACAAATTTTGCAGTCGTATATTGGTATCACGTCTTCGTCCGAAGACAGTTGGTTTCCGGACAATAACTTTAGTATAATTAAATAGAAATCTATGAAATTTAAAAACAATGTTTATAACCACAAAAGGAAGGTTGATTTAGGGGGTTATGGTCCTAACAGTTTAGGAATTAGGGGCCAAAAAGTGGCCCAAATAAGCATTTTTCTAGTTCCCAGACAATAACTTGTGGAATGGTGTATGGATCTCTCTGAAATTATACCACAAGTTTCCATACCACAAAGGGATGGTTAGGATTTGCTTTGGGGGGTTATGGCTCAAACCGTTTAGGAATTGGGGGCAAAAAAGGGGGAAAACAAGGGTTTCCTGGTTAATGGACAATTACTTAAGACAATTTAAAAGCAGTGTAAGGGAGGTAATCCAAACACAACTATTACAAATTAGCCGCAAAACAGAGACACTAACTTATGCAACTCTTATTGTTAACATCAAAGACTGTAACGTAACTAAAGTAACATATTGTAACATCATATCATTATTACGCTTATTGTATTCATAACGTCTCTAGTCAGTATAGTAAACAGAGTTTGAAATATACACACGTCTTTCTATAATTTACAAAAGCGAAGTACTACCACTAAACCCAAACAACAACGTTTCGATTACCTCCCTCACACTGCTTTCAAATTATGTGATGATGATAAGCTGTCAATTTATTTTTAGAAGTTACTATTAAGGAATATTAATTATAGCCATGATTATGTATGTCATTTTCTGTTTTAAGACTTTTATGATGTATTTAAATGGGTAATTATGGTTGCAAACTCCATTGGAAATTTGAATTGAGATTATGGCCATATCTTGAGGGAAAGAATTTTTTTTTGGGGGGGGGGGGGGGGGGGGGGTAATGGAGGTGGAAAAAAAATTGGGGGGGGGTAAAAAGAAATTATATTGTGGGGGGTCAATTTTTTCTCATTTCAGATTTCAGAAATTAAAAAGAAAAATTCTTCAAATATTATTTTTTTTGCAAAAAAAAAGGGGGGGGGCAATATGCAACAGCATAGTGTATTGCACAAAAGCAAAAAAAAAAGGAGGGTAAATTTATTTTTTTTGTGTGGGAGGGGGGGGGGGTCAATTCGCAACAGCAAAGTGTATTGCACAAAAGCAAAAAATTGAATATCAATTCAATCATATAACCGATTCTAAGTTCTTTGACTACAGTTATTCTGTGTCAAATATTTAATTACAATCCAAATTCAGACCTGTATCAAGCGCAAATATTGTGTCCATTTTTGCCCCAACTGTTCAGGGTTGGACCTCTGCGGTCGTATCCAGCTGCGCTCGGCGAAGCAATTTTATTCTTTTTGGCAAAAGTTACTGTTATAAGCTATTGATGTAATAGTTATGGAAGTAATGATTCATAATGTGATTTTTTTAGGTATTTCTTTATTTAACTGAAATGAAATAAGGACAAGAAAAGGTATGACTGAACCTGATAGAAGACTGAGGAGTATGGACCCTCAGGTAAGTCATTTTACATTTAGTTCCCAGTAATATTTGCATGTCTCCTTCTTTTTTGGTTTTTATACGACCGCAAAAAATTTTTTGTGGTCGTATATTGGTATGACGTTGGCGTCGTCGTTGTCGTCCGGCGTCGTCCGAAGACACATTGGTTTTCGCACTCTAACTTTAGTTAAAGTGAATGGATCTCTATGAAATTTTACCACAAGGTTCAATACCACAAAAGGAAGGTTGGGATTGATTTTGGGGGTCATGGCACCAACAGTAAAGGAATTAGGGGCCAAAAAGGGGCCAAAAATAAGCATTTTTGTAACTTCCAGACATAACTTGTGTGTTAGTGTATGGATCTCTCTGACATTGTACCACAAGGTTCCATATCACAAAAGGAATGCTGGGATTGATTTTGGGGGTAATTGCCTCAAAATTTTAGGAATTAGGGGCCAAAAAAGGGGCAAAAAACAAGCATTTTTCTAGTTTCATGACAATAACTTGTGTGTAAGTATAAGGATCTTTCTGATATTGTACTACAAGGTTCCATATCACAAAGGGAAAGCTGGAATTGAGTTTGAGGGTAATTGCCGAAACGTTTAGGAATTGGGGGCCAAAAAGGGGCCAAAAATAAGCATTTTTCTAGTTTCCAGACAATAACTTGTGTTCAAGTGTATGGATCTCTCTGAAATTGTACTGCAAGGTACCATACCACAAAGGGAAGGCTGGGATTGATGATGGGGGTAATTGCCTCTATATTTTAGGAATGAGGGGCCAAAAAGGGGCAAAAAGTAAGCATTTTTCTAGTTTCAGGACAATAACTTGTGTGTAAGTGTATGGATCTTTCTGAAATTGTACTACAAGGTTCCATATCACAAAGGGAAAGCTGGGTTTGAGTTTGGGGGTAATTGCCCTATACGTTTAGGAATTTGGGGCCAAAAAGAGGCCAAAAATAAGCATTTTTCTAGTTTCCAGACAATAACTTGTGTTCAAGTGTATGGATCTCTCTGAAATTGTACTGCAAGGTACCATACCACAAAGGGAAGGCTGGGATTGAGTTTGGGGGTGATGAATCATAAGGGGGTTCAAAAAATTTGGGGGGGGGGGGATTTTGTATTTTTCCTTTTTTTTCTTTTTTTCCTTTTTTTTTTCTTTTAAAATTTTCCATTTTAAGTTGGTTATTTCTGATTTATATTTAAAAGCAAATAATAATGGTATGGTAGGAGATACACACCAAACAGGATGTGTAAATTATTATATAATAAGTATTGTGCAATAGCAAGAAATTGTCAATTGCACAGTATTGCACAATAGCAAGAAATCTTCAATTGCACAGTATTGCGCAATAGCAAGAAATATCCAATAGCACAATATTGTGCAATAGTAAGAAATTGTCAATTGTACAGTATTGCGCAATAGCAAAAAATATTTAATTGCACAGTGTTGTGCAAAAGAAGATACTTTGTATAAATTGCTTATTTCTTGACCAATTTCAATGGGGTTTTATTCTTGAATTCTTGGGGTTCTTTAATATGCTGAATCTAACTGTGTATTTAGTTTTTGGATTTTGGGCCCCGTTTTTAAATTGGTCCACATTGAGGTCCAAAAGGTCCAAAATTAAACTTTGTTTGATTTCATCAAAAATTGAATTATTGGGGTTCTTTGATATGCCGAATCTAACCGTGTATTTAGATTCTTAATTTTTGGTACCGTTTTCAAATTGGTCTACATTAAGGTCCAAAGGGTCCAAAATTAAACTTAGTTTGATTTTAACAAAAATTGAATTCTTAGGGTTCTTTGATATGCTGAATCTAAACATGTATTTAGATTTTTGATTATGGGCCCAGTTTTCAAGTTGGTCCAAATCGGGGTCCAAAATTAAACTTTGTTTGATTTCAACAAAAATTGAATATATGGGGTTCTTTGATATGCTGAATCTAACCATGTATTTAGATTTTTGATTTTTGGGCCCCGTTATCAACTTTGTCCACATTGAGGTCAAAAGCGTCCAAAATTAAACTTTGTTTGATTTCATCAAAAATTGAATTCTTGGGGTTCTTTGATATACTGAATCTAACCATGTATTTAGATTTTGGATATTGGACCATAATAGGTGAATGTCCAATTTAAATTTTTTAAGTTCTTAGACCACATTCATTCTGTGTCAGAAACCTATGCTGTGTCAAATATTTAATCACAATCCAAATGCAAAGCTGTATCAAGCTTGAATGTTGTGTCCATACTTGCCTCAACTGTTCAGGGTTCGACCTCTGCGGTTGTATCAAGCTGCGCCCTGCGGAGCATTTTATTCTTTTATGTACTTCAAAAAACTTTCCTGTAAAAAGTTTAAAGGATTTAGCTTGATTTGAGTCAAGTTATCTAAGGGTCACAGCCTATAAACATCTACCTAAGAGATCAATGAACACTCTGTCAGGATATTTTATCATTTTGAATTGAAAGTTGAATGAATCCTTTAGAAGCACACAACTTGAAAAAAGTTACTCTTATCATGATATTACCAATTATCAGTTTTCTCAAAAATAATGCCGCATGTTTCAATTTCCATTTCATGTTTAATTTTTGTCTTGCCAATGATTCAACTATCCATATTAATTAGGGATGTCAACTCGGTGAAGATAAACTAATCGAGTACTCGTAGGATTTACCAAGCGATACTCGAGTACTCACTCGGTCAAGCATTTTATATTTACAAAATGGAAATACAAAATTATATCCATTTTATGTATTGTGGGTCGTTGCATTATAAACGTAAAACCCTCAACATTATTACTTAGGACTAGATAATAGTCCAAGGAATTTTATATCATAATTAATAGTTCATTTACTACATGAACTGATTATGTAAGCTGACAATATTCTAATCAAGTAATTAATTAATATCTATAGAAAAATGATTACTCAAACAACAGTAATCGTAAAAAACACATTTAATGATCACCAAATGGGTGATGATTAGAACTTAATCCTTTTCTGAGGGTCAACACAGGGTGCAACGAATTTGTTCTTATTGAAAAATATCATCTTGTATACTTTTTTTGGGACGAGGCTATTTCTCATCTTTATTAGGTAACTAACAGTCCTACTGAAGAAAATATATACTCTTACGGTAGAGAAGTGGAGGAAAAATTAAGATCAGCCAAAGGTATAAGCCTTGGAAACATGCTCTTGTTCATATATCCTACCTCTCTTTGGAGGAATTTTAAATGACATTTAAACACAAACATTCGAATCGAATTTTAAGTTTTATTAATTTTGATTAATATTTAATTTCCCGGGAGGCGCTCTCAAAAAAGTTTTTTGTTGTTGTTTTAGCTTAAGAAAGCAACAACATTCTTACAGGAAACCGATTAGTCGAGTATCATTTTGGTAATCGATACTCGGTACTACCGAGCGATACTCGAGAACTTGAGTACTCGTTGACTTCCCTAATATTAATCAAAGAACAAAAATGTGAACTGGACAAAACTAATACCCTGTTGTCCTTCCAAGAAACTTATTTCCTGAATCGTTGGAAAGTGTATGTTTCATCAAATGAGAAAAAGCACAAAAGCAAATAACTAAAAGACATTCTTTATGTGCCTGTCCCAAGTCAGGAGCCTGTAGTTCAATGGTTGTTGTTGTTTCATGTCTGTCATATTTGTTTTTCATGAATTATTTTGTTATAAATTAGGCCGTTAGTTTTCTAAATTGAATTGTTTCATATTTTCAAGTCAAGGCCTTTTATAACCGACCATACGGTATGGATTTTTTTCATCGTTGAAGGCCATAAGGTTGCCTATAATTACTTACATCCACTTCATTTGAACTTTGGTGGATAGTTGTCTCATTGATAATCGTACCACATCTCCTTATTTTTATAAAGATAAAATGCACTGATCCAAATAACTATATAACAGGAATGTTAAAATTTTACGACACAGCTGTTTTAGGACATCATTAAGTTAAGCCAATAGTCAGGTACGTGTATTGGAAAAGAGCTTAAAAAAGTCAGAGTAGCAACCATACCAACATTTGTTAAAATTGGGGAAAACAAAGATTTTTGATATCGTAAAAATATATTTTTGTAAAATTTTAAAAACTTAACAGTAATTTGTCATGAACAGTTTATTTTACCTTCTTTATAACATATTTTTGGAAGACTCAATAGAATTTATTTACAACTTGACTAAATTTTGTATTATGTCTGTGTTTAGACTTTGATGTCTTTTTGTTTTATTATGTTGTTGGTTGAAGTCTTATTGGCATATGCCAACATCTCTTTTTATTCTTATACCCCCGCTTTAAAAAAGTGGGGGTATACTGTTTTACCTCTGTGTGTCCGTCTTTCCATCTGTCGGTCCCTCCATCCGTCAGTCTGTCCCAAGAATATTTTTCGTCACATCTTTCTCAGGAACTACATCATAAGGATTTCTAAAATTTGGTTTCAGGGTTTATATAAGTCAGCTATACCGTGTGATGCGTTTTCAGATTCATACTCAACAACTTCCTGTTTACTGAACACTTACATCATCTTACACATGACATCAAAGTTAAAAATTTTCGTCACATTTTTCTCAGGAACTACATTACAAGGATTTTTGAAATTTGGTTTCAGGGTTTATATAAGTCAGCTATACTGTGTGATGCGTTTTCAGATTCATCATTCAACAACTTCCTGTTTACCGAACACTTACATATTTTTACACTATTAAAATTATCCACTTGCGGCGGGGGTATCATCAGTGAGCAGTAGCTCACAGTTTCACTTGTTATTCATATTAAATTTCACTGGTATTTGATTGTGTTTGTTATAAAAACAGTTAAACTATGAGAAAAAAACTCAAATTACAGAAAATTACAAGAAGATTAAGATTTGATATGTTAGAAGTAAGCACATATACAGGTTATATTAATATGCAACAATTTATATACAATTTGTAAATACTTGTTTGTTATTGTAGAAGGAACCTCTGATTTTCCCACTTGATTTTTCTAATGTTCCTAAGGACATGGCAGAGTTGATGGAACAGATAAAAAAGGTTTGTTTTACTTAAGTTATAAATACATTTCGTGAGACACTTTTGTAATTATCGTTAAATAATAATGAATATTTTAGCGTTTCATATTTTTATTCTGAACCAAATATTATTCATTGGTGTGTGTGTATTACTCTATTAGTTTCACCTGATTTAACACGACTTTAGGGACCAAATAGAATAAATAGTGACCATTACTTCTAAAGAAATAGAATTATCTAATATTTACATATAAATAATTTACTCAACATTACTGAACTCTCACAGGTGACCTTAACCTGAACCCAGGTTAAATATGAATTTAACCACATGGTTAAATATGAATTTAACCACATGATTAAATATGAATTTAACCCCATCTTTCAACAGATGAGTGCCAAGCTTCAACAAGTCTAGAAATCATCATTTTATGGCAAATAGATAAAATTAGATTTCTACGATATTCTGACACATTTTGTTTTGATCAGAAGACTAAAATGATGATATTGATTTTCTTCAGAACTGTGGACTATTCAAAACCAAAAATTATCAGTCCCTGCACTCATTAAAAAAACATCTTATTGAGACTGCTGTCCTATAAAGATGTATGTTATTCTTGCTTGCCTGTGTGAATACTAAGTAATTTTTGTTGTTTTTGAACTGAAAGAAAGATGATATTTAAGCCATCTTTTGATATTAAAATTTGCATAACATATGAAACATTTTGCAATACTTTATTTAATGGCTAAATACTGTTGATTCATTATTACTTGTGGGTTGCAAATTTTATTGATTTCATCTGAATAGGGAAACAAGGAATTTGATAGGGGTGTATAGAAATTTAGGCAAAACCATGAAATCAAATATCCACAAAAATACAATTTTTCCTCTATCCACGAAAATGAATACCCATGAAAACAAATAAATTCTCAGTAAGTACCTTAACACACCTACTCTTTTGTAAAGTAATTATTTTATATTTTCATTTTTACAGTTGGCAGAGAGTATGTTGTATCATTGGAAAACTTTCCCTATAGTGCTACCCCAGTCTGTTACAGATGGTAAAACTCAGGTATGTATTATCTAAATGAGTCCCTATAGTGCTATCCCAGTCTGTTACAGATGGTAAAACTCAGGTATGTATTATCTAAATGAGTCCCTATAGTACTACCCCAGTCTGTTACAGATGGTAAAACTCAGGTATGTATTATCTAAATGAGTCCCTATAGTACTACCCCAGTCTGTTACAGATGGTAAAACTCAGGTATGTACATGTATTATGTGATGAAATTTAGAAACTTGCAAAGATTAGCTTTTGAAAAAAATAGAATTAGGCCAAAAACAATATTTAGATTGTTTGATGTTGCCTACCTACCCACCTTAAAAGCTGCCTACCCGAAATATTTTATGACACAAATTGTTTCCAGTTTTTTTTTTTTTAAGATTTTTCCTCCTCTAAAGTCGTTTTCTTGTATATAACGTGTAACTTTTGTTGTATGCCAAAAAAATAAAAGAAAAAAATCCCTTTCTACCTACCAGCCCAACCATTCAAGGCATGGGTAGGCATCATCAAACAAAGAATTTGTTAAGGGTGGCCTTATAATGCCAGATTAGAATGAACGTGTTGTGAATTTCACAGTTATATGTAAATTTCTCAATAATATGTATATGTACTTACTATTTACTCAATGTTGTAACTTGGGATATCTTTGTTCACTTGAACATTTTGCATGGTTGTAAATCCCAAAATACATCTGTGCCAAAAATTTCTACATGCAATAATGGCTTAAACAATGTCTATATTTTTGGCTTAAGTTTCAGAAAGGTTATTTTATCAATTAAAATTAGCACAAAAATGTTGATAGACTGCCTTAAGAAGAAAAGTTGACACATATAATGAAGCTCTGAAGTTAAACATTAAATTTGAAATGGAATGAAATGTACAATTTTTGGCTTTAGGTCTTAAATAAACATTTATTCATAATTTTTAAGATGTTTTTCACTATTTTTAGACAGAACAAGTATTTCGGGACCTGTTTAAAGCTCCAACATTTGATGAATTAGAACAGGTGGCACTAAATTCTGCAGGTGCATTGAAGTCTTTAACAGATAAACAACTTCAGCAAGTTTGGAATACTGGGTGAGGGTATTAATAAATATTATTGCTAACACGGCTTAAAGCAAACAACAATCAATCAATTAATAATTATTAGTGAAATATGAATAACGAATGTGTTAAAAAATATCTCACCTTAGTTCTGACCTGACATACTGAGCCAAACATTTTATGTGCCAGTTCCCATGGTTACAGTCAGCAGAACTACATGTCAGATCCCCAGACACATTCTTCTGATTTCAAGCTGATTAGTCTTTGCTTTCCTCCACAATTCCACACATTTTTCGGTGAAGTAGCAAATACGAGTTTTAAATAAATTAGTTTGACCTGGCAGAGAATGGTTGATTTGATTTGATTTTTTTAGTGTTTATTGCCACTTTCAGTACTATTATGCTATTTCGTGGCGGTCAGTTTTTATTGGTGGAGGAAGCTGGAGTGCCTGGAGAGAACTCATGACCTTCGGTAGGAAAACTGACATTCCAAGTCAATTAAGAGTGGGGTGAGCGCACCTGCCACGTGCAGCATTCAAACTCACAACCTCTGTGTTGACAGGCTAGTGATACATTAGTTCGATTACTTTGACAACTTGGCCACCGAGGCTGCAGCAGAGAATGGAACCCACAACCTCTCACTCTTGAAGCTGTTATGCTTCTACAAGACCACTGAGGCTGATTGGTAAACATTTATGAGCTTGGCTCATAGTACGTCTAATTTACAATATATATTAAACTAAAATATCAATAAACTGGGAGAGAAATGGTGAATATATGGCTAGGTCAGATTTATGATATTGACTTGTGTCATTAAATAGTAGTTGTGTAAGCCAGGTTGATTTATAGTCATAAAAATTAATGTAAATTTAGTTTTATCATTATATAATTTAATAAGAATGAAAATTCTGAATATTTTGCAGAGAATTTGAAGTGGACAGTATAAATTTTCAAGGTCAAGTTCACAGATGGAGGCTGTCAAACCTTCTTCAGAAAGGGTCATCGAATGCTCAAAATACATTTTACAATGTAAGTATTCTTTATTTTTGAAGTACAATGTATGAAGCATATGAATTATTGAATTATAATGTTTGGGTGAAGATTGCACAAAGTGCAATTGAATCTGTAGTAGCTGACTGTGAGTATACACAGCCTAGTTAAGTGAGCTGAACTTCAGATCCTATCCATGTCCACGCAATGCAATTTATTAATTATATAAACTCAGATAAATTCAATTTACAAAATAATGTGTATGGTACATATATGTGTATTACCAAACTTTGTTATGAAATCCATTTTATTAAAAATTTCACACAGTAGTAATGCATAGTGTTTAAATTTACAATTTATCTGTTCTACATGTACCTATAATTATGGACAATAGGAAATAACTTAATTCAAAATATTACCTATTTGTGTCTTTGCTTAATACAATACTCACAGGCACTTGGAATTTTGTTGAGAGATTCTTCAGTACTATATAACATTATGCACTTCATATTTTATTCATTGATTTAAATAGTTATTGGGATTTTCCAGCAACTGAACATAGACATCATTTTCTGTAATGACCTACATCATTGAACACAATTCAATGACATGAAAATAAAAATATGCCCTTATTTTTGTCTCGCCTTGACGGAGTCAAAAAGCGAGACATATGTAAGCTGTTACCGGCGTCGTTAGCGGCGGCGATGGTGACGGCGAAGGCGGCAGCTGTATCAACAATGTATTAGTTTGTGATTAGGTCTAGTTCATGGTGAACCACTAGTGGTAGGTCAATGATATTTGGTATGCAGTTGTATTAGCATTGGCACATCTCATTACCATGGAGATTATTTGGCCCCGCCCCCTCAGTCAAGGTCTATTGACTTTGAAACTTTTCATAGTTTACATGTATAAGTTTGTGATTAGGTCAATTTATGGGGAACCACTAGTGGTAGGTCAATGATATTTGGTATGCAGTTGTATAAGCATTGGCATATCTCATTTCCATGGAGATTATTTGGCTCTGCCCCCTTAGTCATGGTCTATAGACTTTGAAAATTTTGCTTAGTTAACATGTATTAGTTTGTGATTAGGTCAGTTCAAGGGGAACCATTAGTGGTAGGCCAATGTTAATTGGTGTTCAGTTGTATAAGCATTAGCACATCTCATTTCCATGGAGAATATTTGGCCGCGCCCCCTCAGTCATGGTCTATTTACTTTGAAACATTTGCTTAGTTTACATGTATTAGTTTGTGATTAGATCAGTTTAAGATGAACTGCTAATGTTAAGTCAATGATATTTGGTATGCAAATTTATTTGCATTTGCAAGTATCGTTTCCATGGAGATTATATAGCCCCACCCCTGATCATGGTTCATTGACTTTGAAACTTTTACATAGTTTTCAAGTTAATGTTTGTGTTTAGGTTTGTTTAAAGGGAACGACTTATAATAAGTCAATGGTATTTGGTATGCAGTTGTATTAGCATTGGCACATCTCATTCCATGGAGATTGTTTAGCCATGTACCTTCAGTCATGGTTTATCGACTTTGAATATTTGCATAACTTACATGTTAAAGTATTGCTATTTTAGTTTCAACATTTGCATTATCAAAATTACAAAAGGGCGAGACATATCTCTGTGATAACAGTTTATCTATTGACTTTGTTGAACCAAACATTTAAAATCAGTTTATTTATAAGTATAAGATATATAAAAAAATAATTTCTGGCTTATTTTCACATGTCATGGCCAAAATTGATGAAACAATTTTTCTTTCTTAACTTATTTGATATTTCTTTCAGGATTTAGCTTTGTCATTGAGAATATTAATTATCACAGCAAGAAACAGATTTGTATCAGATTTCTTTAGTGTGTCAGAATCAATAAAAAGCATTGGAAAAGGCCTGGTCAAACTATTAGGTAAGTACACAGTGTATGTGACTTTTGTGATTTCTGAATATATATCATACAATATCACTAGCAAAAAGTAACATAAGAGTTTTGTTGTGAAGTTTAACCTTTATATTTAGTAAGAGTTAAAAGTTTTCCATAATTTTCAATTTAAAAAAAAAAAGGGCAATGTATAAAAAAAATATAAAATACTGATCTTTTGATTTTGTGAATACCAGTTTCTGTTGATTGAGGAAAAATTATATTTTTGGTAAATACTGATCTTTGTGGTTTTAAAAAATTCTGCATACTAACCTATTATAAACTTTGTATTTTATTGAACACTTCAATTCATAGTAAACCTCTACCCACAAAATCCACAAAATGTGTGCCCTACATGTATATATAAGATCTACTGAAAACAAGATGTAAAACCTAAATACAAAAAATGCCACCACTAAAAAGTTGCTTCAAGCCATCTTTTAAGATATGCACAAGTGCTTATTAATTTTACTGCACATATATGCGTAAATAAAAAGAATGAATTATTGCAGATTCTCTGCATTTGAAAATAAGATCTAAAAGTGAAGACACATAGCTTGATGTGTATTGTTCACCTCAAAACTTCCATAATAATAGCAAAACATTATTATACTATGCACAGAAGAATTTGTTAAGGAAAACTTATATTTGAGCATGATAAAAAAATTACAAAAAGCAAGTGGCCTTACATTAGACTCATATTTATTTAAAAGGGCTGAAAATTTGTATTACTGGATAATTCAACTTGGCACATCATCAGAATGATATGCTAGTTTTATTGTATTAGAGTTAATTTTGTAGTCAAAGAATTAAAAAGTTGTGATTTATTGTAGATATTGTGATTGGTATGCCATCAACATGCTTAGAAAGTATAGAACAGAAGATTTTAGATGAGCATATGAGATACTTGGTGGCAGAACTAACAATAAAGGTATACTATTTCAATCCCTACCGTCCCTCTTAAAAAAAATCCTATGATGGTATTATAATATAAAAAAAAAGAAACCTGATAGAGCTAGAGTCTGCTACTAATACATAACACCTATCTTATTGTGTTTTATTATCATACTGTAAGCATAACCTTAGTGTGTCCATAATTATAGTTGAAAACAAACCTAGAAAATATAGACTCCTTTCATGCAGATATTTTTGTCTTCAGTTGAAAATTATTTGAGATATTAGAAATAATTTGATGAAACAATCTGAATGTATGTCTATTTAGTTCTGAATTTTCTTCTTGGGTGTCTTATTTATATTCCACACAATGCTCGTCTCTAATAATTAGAAGAAATAATTCATATTTTGCAGCAAAATTCTATGAAAGACTTTGAAGCTTTTTGCAGCTATGTAAAACAAAAGTGTGAAGAGTTACAGTCGGAGAAAACTCAGGTGAGTGTTAGTGTGAAAATTGTCGCTATTTTAATAACAAGTACTGTGAATGTCTTATTATTTGTAGGATATTAGTTTTCACGGATTTTGTTGTTTGAGGTTAATCATGAATTTAAATGTTCCACACAAAATACAAATTTTCTATAGACTTGAAAGCATGATTTTTCAAAACTTTGAAGGCAAGTATCCACAAAATTATAATTTTTCCTCAATCCACAAAAATTGGAACTCACAGATTTAAATGAGGGTAGGAAGGCCTTTTACTGTGTCTACCATTAGCGTCAAATTGGTTAAAATTTTATTGTGATTTGTCAAAATATACTTATCGTGATTCGTCAGCGGTCTCAAATGATTATCCGTTACCGTTATTTTTGGAAAGAATTAACATGATTCATCAAAATCAGTTGATATTTTGATTGTCATAAAGAAAAAGTACATTTTATCGTCATGCACTAAAAATTACCGTTAACGTCATTTGGCAAGATTTTTATACCATTATAAGTCATGAAGGTAACCCCATTACGACCCTCATAAATAAATCTACAGTATGTTATTGTAATATGGATTAGTTTTTTTTTTACATTATGGATATATTTAAATATTTCAAAATTAAGTCAGTGTTCTAGATAGTTTTAAATTGACACAGTTTGATCAAGAGTTATTTTCCTTTTGTCACCATGTTGGAGGTCTACATGTACAAATTCAAAGGCACATTAATCAGCCAAATTCAAGTAGTTATACTGACTGCTATACTGAAGTAGAAGTTTTTTATTTTTTTTATGAACAATTTTAATTTCTTTAAGCGTTGCTTCATTCATCACCACTATCTAGTAAGGATCTCTTATCAGACTTGTATGGACCACTACAAGAGTGTTTAACAACATTGACTATTAATCAAGGTCTCGCATGGCTGCCCTGGCCAATGCCTTTTTGGGCATTTGTGGACAAAATATTTCAGTTTGGTTAATCAAATAAGAAAATCAACCATTTACATCTGCAAAATGGTGATAAAAATATTTCAAAAAAATTTCAGACCAGCTGAGAGAAAATATGTCTAAGACCTGAGTTTTTTACTTCAAATTTGACCCCTATTAATTTGTATGTATACAAACAAATTGTTGGGTAGAGAGGGCTAAAATTGAATTAAATCAACATAGTTTTGTTCATAAATCTGTACAAGTATAGTTAAGAGAAATTTTAGTTATATTTAGATGAAACATAAACCATTCCTTATTGATGATAGTACTATAATTAGATTATTTCTTTACTTTTTTATATTTCAGACAACTGCTTTAAGACTTAACTTTTTTATATTTCAGACAACTGCTTTAAGACCTAACTTTTTATACGACCGCAAAAAATTTTTGCGGTCGTATATTGGTATGACGTTGGCGTCGTCGTCGTTGTCGTTGTCGTCCGAAGACACATTGGTTTTCGCACTCTTACTTTAGTTGAAGTGAATGGATCTCTATGAAATTTTACCATAAGGTTCAATACCACAAAAGGAAGGTTGGGATTGATTTTGGGGGTTATGGTACCAACAGTTAAGTAATTAGGGGCCAAAAATAAGCATTTTTGTAACTTCCAGTCATAACTTGTGTGTTAGTATATGGATCTCTCTGACATTGTACCACAAGGTTCCATATCTCACAGGGAATGCTGGGATTGATTTTGGGGGTAATTGCCTCAAAATATTAGGAATTAGGGGCCAAAAAAGGGGCAAAAAACAAGCATTTTTCTAGTTTCATGACAATAACTTGTGTGTAAGTGTATGGATCTTTCTGAAATTGTACTACAAGGTTCCATATCACAAAGGGAAAGCAGGATTGAGTTTGGGGGTAATTGCCCAAAACGTTTAGGAATAAGGGGCCAAAAAGGGGCCAAAAATAAGCATTTTTCTAGTTTCCAGACAATAACTTGTGTTCAAGTGTATGGATCTCTCTGAAATTGTACCACAAGGTTCCATATCACACAGGGAATGCTGGGATTGATTTTGGGGGTAATTGCCTCAAAATATTAAGAATTAGGGGCCAAAAAAGGGGCAAAAAACAAGCATTTTTCTAGTTTCATGATAATAACTTGTGTGTAAGTGTATGGATCTTTCTGAAATTGTACTACAAGGTACTGTTTTCCTTTTTTTTTTCTTTTAAAATTTTCCATTTTAAGTTGGTTATTTCTGTTTTATATTTAAAAGCAAATAATAATGATATGGTAGGAGATACACACCAAACAGGATGTGTAAATTATTATATAATAAGTATTGTGCAATAGCAAGAAATTTTCAATTGCACAGTATTGCACAATAGCAAGAAATCTTCAATTGCACAGTATTGCACAATAGAAAGAAATCTTCAATTGCACAGTATTGTGCAATAGCAAGAAATATCCAATAGCACAATATTGTGCAATAGCAAGAAATTGTCAATTGTACAGTATTGCGCAATAGCAAGAAATATTCAATTGCACAGTATTGTGCAAAAGAAGATACTTCGTATAAATTGCTTATTTCTTGACCAATTTCAATGGTGTTTTATTCTTGAATTCTTAGGGTTCTTTAATATGCTGATTCTAACCGTGTATTAAGTTTTTGTATTTTGGGCCCCGTTTTTAAATTGGTCCACATTGAGGACCAAAGGGTCCAAAATTAAACTTTGTTTGATTTCATCAAATATTGAATTATTGGGGTTCTTTGATATGCCGAATCTAACTGTGTATTTAGATTTTTAATTTTTGGTTCCGTTTTCAAATTGGTCTACATTAAGGTCCAAAGGGTCCAAAATTAAACTTAGTTTGATTTTTTACAAAAATTGAATTCTTAGGGTTCTTTGATACAGGGGTTCAAATTAGCGGTGGTCCGAGGTCCGTGACCTTCCACTATTGCAATCGGACTTTCATTTTGGTTACTTGCTACGCCCGACGGACCTTCGATTTGAAAGAAAATAAAAATTAACTTTGCCGACCTTTTGAACCATCAGTATCGTCATTTCAAAGCCATATTACTATTGACATGGTATACCCCTCGAGAGCGTACTGTAAACCATTTTAACTGTCGGCAAAATAAGTTTGTTAACCCATTAGAAGTGATGAAAGTTGCCTTAAGTAAATTTGTAATCCATTCATTGCATTAAAAACGTCATATTCCCTTCCAAATAGCGTTTCAAACATCGTTTATTTTTGTAAATTTTTTCGTCCGCCATTGAAATATTTGTACAAACTACTGATCAGAGTCGGGAAACGGACCAGCTATGAATGAAATCCGGATTCTAAGGATCAGGGCCTAATCTAGGATTTTGGAAAGGGAAAAGTGACTTCTCCTTCCATGAGAGAGAAGGGAGAAGTGGTCAATTTCTTGGAGAAGTGAGATTCCATTACCGTTTCGGTTGCATAGTGTTCTCGTGCTTATCACTAAGGAAATTATTTTATATGCAATAAAAAATATAGTTTTTTCATGTTATTGTAGAAAATGTATATATAGAAAGTTCTTAATAAAAAGGTTTAGACAATATAGTTGTTATTTATTCATTGATACCATTTGTACTGTCAAAGTTTAAATAAAATTTGTTGCTTGGGACATGAGGGAGTTACTCAGTAGCCTAGTAATATTATGATGCATTAAATTCATGTGCATCTGCCTCAATTTATTTTTAAATGTCCAGAAAAATATGACTCCCAGTTTACCTGATGAATTTCACATGACTGGGAATTTAATTTATATCACCACTTGTCATTATTTTGTAAAACATTATTGAATGTCCAGGACATCATGTTACATGTAGTTGTAAATTGAGATTCTCGTTAAAGATTGTAAGCCTGTAAATGAAAATATCTGTCAATCGATCACATATTAATTAACCGATGCAGAGCTAATTTCTATCATTTTTTAAAGATATCTTCCCTATCAACGAAATTGTCGTGAAAAAAAAATCCACTGCTGATCACAGCTGGTCGAGTGTCGTACGTTTGCAATCTCATTATTCATCAGCTGTCTTTCTACCTTTTATATTTCAATTTTTATGCAATGAATATAATAAATCTACCGTTAATTCCCATCCTTAACTCACCGAATAGTACAAATTGATCGACTCGTAATAAATAAAAATAAAACAAATCAGCTGAGTGATTACGCAACATCCTCAGATAAAAATCATTGTAAAATGATAACTTTAACAGACGGTCAGTTTTCCGATTGAATAGTTTTAAATGTTATATCCAAGGATGTTCAAAGTCGCCGTTGTATTTATTTAATTTGATCGTCGACAGTATTAGTCCTGGGTCGTTTCGAAAATCTCGATTTTCCTTGTCAGTCGCCATTTTTTTTTACCTGAGAGACTTGTAATTCACAAGTTGTCTCCCTTTTACCGATTTTCATAGCGATTTGACTTAGCCATGAAGTCAGTCGGCTGGCGAGATTTAGCGATTTTCAAAATTCTTTGGCGACTTAAATCGTCATTTCGCCGGCAAGATTATCGCCTGCTAAGGATAATGACTACGGACCCATGAATGGCACATCTCACAGAAGAATATTGATCCCAAAGGGAAAAATTAATCATTCCACACTTTCTTTTTTTTTTTTATGTAAAAAAAGTTCTTTCTTTATTAGTGCTAGATATTTAGTTGGTAGTTTCTAACAAGAGAGGAACTAATATAATTGTGCAACATATAATGAACTTAAACAGCTATGAATTTGAACTGTTACTTTAATTGAATACTCGGTTATGAATTGAACAATTACAAAAAGATACATATAGCCCTTTATATTATAGTAAAAATCAAACATTGTAGCGCCTTGAGTGAGCACTTCTCTTTCAAATCTCACCATTTCTCCCTATTAGTTTAAAAAAGAGAAGTCACTTCTCCCTATCAGTTTAAAAAAGAGAAGTCACTTCTCTCTATGATTCTGAAGTAGTCTGAGCCCTGAGATAATGGTATAATTACCAATAATTGAGACAACACACCCACCCACAGTGACACCCTCCCCAATACCAACAAAAAAGATATAAATTTGTAATCATAATATACTTGTAAGACAGTTACATCATTTATTATTATACATGTTATACCACAGTGACACTGACAGTTTAGTGCTACATTTATATGGTTGCCTGGCAATATATTTGTAAACTTATCAAAATATTGCATGCAGTTCAAATATAATTAAACATTGTTAAACAAGCTAACCTAAGATCAAAAACACATTAATCTTACAGAGTTATGAAATATTTCAAATGAAGTAGGACCTGGGATTTATGTTGTGGACCTTTCAGTTTGGAGTGTCAAAGGTCATTGACCTTCCAGTACCAAATGTTAATTTGAACCCCTGTTGATATGCTGAATCTAAACATGTATTTAGATTTTTGATTATGGGCCCAGTTTTCAAGTTGGTCCAAATCGGGGTCCAAAATTAAACTTTGTTTGATTTCAACAAAAATTGAATATATGGGGTTCTTTGATATGCTGAATCTAACCTGGGAACAGTATATCTAACGGGAAATGAATCTGATACGCTTTTCAGTATAAAATTGATAAATTCTCGGACTCCCCGAGACTTCCCGAGATTTACGGATTTTGGTAGCGTCTGACTGAAAAACTATCAGAACTGCTCAACAAATAAACCACATAACTCTAATTGTAAATAAATACAAGTTTTATCATTTAGAAGATATATTTTGTCATATAAAATTACCAAAATAAGTTTGATTTATTTGATGTGAAGTGTTTTATAATAGTTTGGGAATTTGTAAATCATCGCCGCAATGGCCGCCATTTTTTTATTACCTTGTTTGTATTCTGCACAATTCTGTAATGAAATGCTTGCGATTTTAACAAATTTGAAGTGACAGAATACAAGTTTGATACACTAGCATCACTATAAAACTAGTTTGAATGACATTTTATTGATAATATCAGAAATTATTAGGATAATAGCGAGTCCGTTTTTAACACATGTCCGTTTCTGTATCGTATCTTTATTAACTATGGCACGACGATAAAATCGACTACAATCAGGTAGTGTCAAGTCCCGTCAATATATATGTTCCTGATCTAACCATGTATTTAGAATCTTGATTTTTGGGCCCCATTATCAACTCTGTCCACATTGAGGTCAAAAGGGTCCAAAATTAAACTTTGTTTGATTTCATCAAAAATTGAATTCTTGGGGTTCTTTGATATGCTGAATCTAACCATGTATTTAGATTTTGGATATTGGACCATAATAGGTGAATGTCCAATTTAAAAATTTTAAGTTCTTAGACCACATTCATTCTGTGTCAGAAACCTATGCTGTGTCAAATATTTAATCACAATCCAAATTCAGAGCTGTATCAAGCTTGAATGTTGTGTCCATACTTGCCCCAACTGTTCAGGGTTCGACCTCTGCGGTCGTATCAAGCTGCGCACTGCGGAGCATTTTATTTATATTTCAGACAACTGCTTTAAGACTTAACTTTTTTTATATTTCAGACAACTCCTTTAAGACTTAACTTTTTTATGTTTCAGACAACTGCTTTAAAACTTAACTTTTTTTTTATATTTCAGACAACTGCTTTAAGACTTACCTTTTTTATATTTCAGACAACTGCTTTAAGACTTAACTTTTTTATATTTCAGACAAATGCTTTAAGACTTAACTTTTTTATATTTCAGACAATGGCTTTAAGACTTAACTTTTTTATATTTCAGACAACTGCTTTAAGACTTAACTTTTTTATATTTCAGACAACTGCTTTAAGACTTAACTTTTTTATATTTCAGACAACTGCTTTAAGACTTAACTTTTTTATATTTCAGACAACTGCTTTAAGACTTAACTTTTTATATTTCAGACAACTGCTTTAAGACCTAACTTTTTTATATTTCAGACAACTGCTTTAAGACCTAACTTTTTTATATTTCAGACAACTGCTTTAAGACCTAACTTTTTTATATTTCAGACAACTGCTTTAAGACCTCCTCCAATACCATACTCCTACCAAACACCAAATAAACTGGATATAGATCTGAGATTATTTAATAAAGGTAAGAATGTCATATTGTGGAAAGACACATACACCTACAAAACACCAAATAAACTGGATATAGATCTGAGATTGTTTAATAAAGGTAAGAATGTTAAAGTGTTACCTATGGTTTTCTGTCCTTCTGAATTCAAACAGTTAATTTTTTCACTATACCTGCTGATATTGATCTGATTGTCTTGAGCAATTATTGTATAAATAAAAGGTGACTTGCATATCGACTGAATAGCGGCCTATTTTTCGTGATAAAGCTGCATGTGGGGGCGTTTGTGTTGTACTGAAACAAATCATTGGATTTTCTTCAAATTGAAAATTTTCTTTTTTAACATATTAACTTAACTTTTTTTACATTTATTTATTCAAGAAACTAATGTGGTATATCAACAATATTTCAGAACTATTATTCTCTTATATAGTAAAACACAATTACATTATATTTAGGTCACCATGACATACCTTTTGTCTTGCCTGCAGAAAGTGAGACATAGGGATTGCTTTTCCGGCTGCGGCAACGGCTGTGATGACGGCGTTAACAATTGTTAAGTTTTCTGCTTAAGTTAGTTTGATAGGAACTACTTGTGATAGACTATTGGTATTTTGTATGAAGATGCATTACTATCAGTTCATATCAGTTTGACAACAATTTTGAGGCCATTGCCCCCTAGGCCATGTGACTTTGAATTAATTAGCAATTTTAAATGTTAAGTTTTCTGCTTAAGGTAGGTTGATAGGAAAGAACTACTGGTGATAGATCAATGATATTTTGTGTGAAGTTGCATTGCTATCAGTACATGTCAGTTTAACGACTATTTTGAGGCCCTGCCCCCTTGGCCATAGTTCAGTGACTTTCAATTAATTAGCAAGTTTTTGCTTAAGTTAGTTTGATATGAACTACATGCGATAGATCAATGATATTTTCTATAAAGTTGGTCCAGAGACTTTGAATTAATTAGCAATGTTGCTGTCCATCAGATTGTCTTTTTCTGAATTTTATGCTGACAGGCGAGACATGTCTCTGTCAACAGTTTATTTACTACCAGCGTTTTTGTTTCATTTGCATTTACAAACCTATCTTTGATACCTTATGTGGTGCATGTATATCAGTAATTTTTAATTACTAAAGTACTGTTTAATATATGGCACAACAAATTTCTAAAACATTTAAGTGACTTTGACCTACAATCTACTCATGAGTGGCATTGGTCAATTTATATAGATTACCTGCTATGTTATTTTTTCGAAAATTCAAATGTCAATGTCTTTAAGTCATATTTTTAAAGTTCTGTAATGTAACGAAAAAGTTCTTTTTTTAAAGATCTGATAAACAATTGTTTACCAATATTGAGCAGTATCTTGGACAGAGGATCACGAGGATGGTATGTCCAGTACAGACTCAAAATGATGCAAGATCTACAAGGTATGTAAAATATTATTTGCTATGAGAATATGTTTTTATTTTATCTAGTGTCATTCTTTTTGTTTGAGAGTAAGATAATACACAAAAAAAATGGTGAGAGCTGTTTGAGTTTTATATAAAAAAAATTTCAACATAAATTTCTGTTGGAATAAATTCTGATACTTAAATCTGATCATTTGATAAGTAAATGATTAGTTTTAATAGAAATAAGAACAAAAGTAGAAATAAAGTTGAACAAGATTTATTTTTTTATTTTTTTATTTTTTTGAAAAAATTTAAATCGGAAATATCTTGATTTCAGTATTTAATTTTTTCTGCTTTAAGAAATGTTTTTTTTTTGATGAATGAAGTTGATTTTTTGTTTCTATATTTCAGTGTCATTTTCAGGTATGGTAGCATGCTTGTCAAGCCTTAAAACTGTGCACGAATTATTTTTTCTCTTTGTTGAAAAATGAATTATTTTAAGAAGTGATTTAGGCTTTGACTGTTTACCATTTAAACTTTGTTGACTGAAATAGTTTTTACATATATATGTTAGTTCTAGCCTTAAGTACAACATAGTTACCCAATTGGTTAATATTTTGTGATGGGATTACTTCCCCTGGAGTTATAGATACCCTCATCCATTTCTAGTAGAAACAGACTGTACATTTCTTTGTAACATACTTGTATTCTAGTAAATGGATAGCTTAATGATTTAACAATGTATTCTTGAACTATTTCTCCTCCTTGATTTTAAAGAATTACACTTTTTTGAATTATTCAGTTTGAAGTATAGTCAAATTTCATAAGATGTACACAGGATTTTAATAAATCATTTTGGACAATGTTTTATATTCAGAATGTACTCAAAAGTCTTTTTCTGTATTGGGTTTTAAATTTTCACAGCCAAATTCATATAAAGTGTTTATCAATTTTTATTTCCTTGCACATGGTCATTTGTATTTAGGTTCTATGATATGCTTTGTAAAAATCATATTAGATGTTATGATAAACCAAAATTGCTCTGATTTAGCTCCAATTGAATTCAAGGTAAATATTTATTTTAATTCCTAACAAATGTCAAAAAAACCTATTGGTAAATTCAAATTAATTTGACCAGTAAAAAGAAAATTAGTAAACACTTGTATGAGTTTCTGTGGAATACTAAAAAATTATCTGACCCTGCATAATTAAGTTATAATTTGGAAAATCTGAATGATATGATATTAGGAGCTTTTGTATGAAGACTTATATTAGAAATTCTATTTATTCAGAGGATGACAGCAGCGAATCTTTTCACAAAAAATCTAAAAATACTCGCAAGTCATAAACAATTCAGTATAACTTACGATCGATTTTAATCGTAAAATTTTTTGTGAAAAGAGTTGCAGGACATTACTTATAAATGTTATAATCTAAAATTTTGGGAACACACCCAGTAAAGGTATCAGCATCAAATCTTTGTATAAAGCTTTAGATTTCAGGAGGAAGAAAACCTGAATACTTCATACCTTGTTAACAGATGTCTGATGTTCTAAAATTTTAAACCTGGGTTTACTTTTTACACATTGTGACGTAGATGGAGAGTTGTCTCATTTGCACTCATACCACTTCTTCTTATTTATATTAAAAATAATTGCGTATGTGACCTTTATTCTAAATTTGACCTTAGCTCCGTGTTTTCTACTATTTTTGCTGTTTAACTTGTCTAATCAGAAATATCTTCCACTTTACCTCATAGTATGCATATTGTATTGTGAGCATGAATTTAATATCAAAGCCCAAAATAAATACCTTAATTGATATATGTTACAGTATGAATGTATTAAATGTTTTACACTCAATTATTGTATTTTCTCCAAGTTAAGTTTTTTTTTACATTTTTGAAGTGAATACCAAATGAATCTGTGATGTTTAGGGTTCTCACATTGTATTTTATCAGGAGAATTCATAAAACCAATATCCATTGGCCATTACTTAGTAGCATGAGTTTAGAACCACAGTTAATACTTGAAGTAACTGGACCACAGGTCTGCTATAAAAGTTTATAGTAACTATAGGTTTATTTTATTTAATAATTATATTTCAGGGCAAGGTCTTTCAAATAAAGAGATGTCTAAGGTATGTTATTACTTTACAATTTAAATAAAGGAGGAGGTGAGCTTTATAATAGCCTCTAACAATTAAAGTATCACAAAATGAGGTGGTTTTTCAATAGATATATATATATATATAGGTGCATATGTATGTGCAAAATTTAAGCTGTTCGGAACTTCGAATAATATATTATTAATTTTGGCCAAGATTTTACAGTTGCAACAAAGCAGAAATTTGATTTTCCAGTTGAAAATTGATCAATCAATGCCTTTTAATATGAAGTCACAAATACATTTATTATGATGGACAATGGAATTGATCATAAACTATACCTGTTTTGGTTTTTATACAACCACATCTTTAAAATAGACATGAATATATATTTTTAATTAAAAGTTCAAATTTCTGTGAAAATTAAGGCCAAAAAAGGCCCTTATCCTACTCTGTCCTTTACAATACAATTGAACTTTTTAACGGAGAGGACTAACTTAAGTCACATTAACTTTTGTGGAAATCTTTTTGTTGATATGCTATAAATAGAATATTATGCAAATTTTTTAAAGATACTTCAGATGATGCCCTTTTATAACTGAAATATGTTGTTTAGAGAACAAATTAAACTGTAATCTATTACCTTTATTTGAAAGCTGTGAAAAATTTGCCACTGGACATATAAAAAAAACAATGAATCAATCGTTATTTGAAAGTCATGTAACTGTACATGTTGATCTGTTGGATAAATTTATATTTACCAAATAATCTATTAACATTGATATTTGAAACCTATTCACTAGTCCTTGACTCAAGCAAACAAAAAAATGAAAATGTTCTCGCTTCCTAAGTAACCAAAAAGTCATATCAGTAAAGATCCTTTAAAATACAGTTGGATTGCTGAAATTGATTTTTTTAACAATTATTCTATTGTTTTAAATATACTGTAAATTCAGAAATTATTGCTTGTATTCATTATTGATATTTTTGAAGAATGAATAAAAATGCGAGTTTAATTATTACGATTTCAGATAAAGCTACAAACACATATATGTACCAGATATCAGAATACAAGTTCTTATTAATGCGATACTCAAGGAGTCACAATATTCACAATAATAAAAACCTCACAATAATTTCTCAATTTTACATTAGCAAGAATTTTTTTGTTTATTATTTACAGAAAATCAATGAGGCAATAATGGAAGAGTATTTAGACAGGGTATTTGAAGCAATAAAAAGTAACACAGAGTTGGAAAATCTACAAGAAGGAATAGGTATATTTTATTCTATTATACCTCATTTCAAAATGCCAGATTTTGATTGGTAAATACGAGGGAGACAATATATAAATAACACATAGCTGAGAGGGTGATAAAGCAGATTGTTACCCCGAGAAAACATTGTCAACTGAGGCTTCGCCTCAGTTGACAATATTAATGTCTTTTCAAGGGGTAACAATCTGCTCTATCACCCTCTCAGATATGTGTTATTTAATTTATTATACTGAATGTTCTGTTATTACTGTCGATTAAATTTCAAATTCAAAGTAATAAACTATGACGTCTTGTACATAAGAACCAACCCTATTTAATAAAGCGCACACTTGTTCAAGCGTCTCGGTGAAGGGTAATAGAGTATTTGCCATAGGATAGAGTCGTATTTAATAAAGCGCACACTTGATCAAGCGTCTCCGTGAAGGGTAATAGAGTATGAAGTATAATAATTTACTCTTTCCCATGGCAAATACTCTATTACCCTTCACGGAGACGCTTGATCAAGTTAATAAATACGGATGATTGTTATGCACAAAACGTCATAATGTATTACTTTGAATTCGAAATTAGATAGACAGTAATAACAGAACATTCAGTATAATAAATTGAATAACACATATCTGAGTGGGTGATAGAGCAGATTGTTGCCCCTCGAAAAGACATTGTCAACCTTGGCTTTGCCTCAGTTGACAATGTTTTCTCTGGGTAACAATCTGCTCTATCACCCTCTCAGCTATGTGTTATTTATATACTATTATATTAAAGAGAAAATACATTTGTTGAAGAAGAACATACATTTTGTGGCCGACATGACCATGATGCATTGACTGAAAACAGGTAATTTATCTTTGATTTGTAGCTGATTAGAATTGGACTTAAACCCAAAACTTAACACCAAAGCTTTGTGTAAAATGAAGGTCAAGGTCAACTAATTTTAGTGTGAACCGGACAAAAATGATTCCTATTTGATTTTTATTTGCTTAGTTTTGGATTTTTATGTAAATCTAAATCAGGGTGAGCAAATTGATGAACAAAGATATGAAGGGATATATTGCCCTTAACAAAATTGTAAGATAATTTTATTTTTTCATTGATCATAACTTTTAAGCATCTTAATAAGGGTTAAAAGAAAATAGAAATACTGGGCTGGACCTAGATTTGTTTTGTCATTGGAAGTGATATTGTAAGGTAGAATGACCAAATTTTTGCATTTTAGCAAATAGTGTAAACCAACTAATTTTCGCGACTTTCACGAGTAGAAAAATAACGTGAATATAAATCGTTGTGAAAATTTAAAACTTGGATCTTTCCTTATCTTACTACATCAAGTAAATTTGAAAATCACGAAATTTAATTGCCGCGAAGTGGGCTAGAAAGAGCTAAACGCGAAATAAAGTATCCGCAAAAATAAATTGGTTTACAGTAGTAGGCATATATCAGGAACCAACATAGGGCAAAAGTCATTAGCTTTGTCGATTATTAATTTTTGCCAGCAAGTAGATAAATAAATAATAACATTTCCTCTGATTCTATTGAGGAAAGGTTGTGCTCTATAATTTCATAGTAAAATGGATAAATTTACAGTTGACATGTACAGTGCTGGTAGATCAATGTATGACATACTAAAAAAAAGAATTACAGTATTACAGGTACACTACTGGTAGATCACTGTATGATATACTAAAAAAAGAATTACAATATTCCAGTTACACTACTGGTAGATCAATGTATGACATACTAAAAATAGAATTACAATATTACAGGTACACTACTGGTAGATCAATGTATGACATACTAAAAAAAGATTTACAATATTACAGGTACACTACTGGTAGATCAATGTATGACATACTAAAAAAAAGAATTACAATATTACAGGTACACTACTGGTAGATCACTGTATGATATACTAAAAAAAGAATTACAATATTCCAGGTACACTACTGGTAGATCAATGTATGACATACTAAAAATAGAATTACAATATTACAGGTACACTACTGGTAGATCACTGTATGATATACTATAAAAAGAATTACAATATTACAGGTACACTACTGGTAGATCAATGTATGACATACTAAAAAAAGATTTACCATATTACAGGTACACTACTGGTAGATCAATGTATGATATACTAAAAAAGAATTATAATACTACAGGTACACTACTGGTAGATCAATGTATGACATACTAAAAAAAAAATTACAATATTACAGGTACACTACTGGTAGATCAATGTATGACATACTAAAAAAAAAATTACAATATTACAGGTACACTACTGGTAGATCAATGTATGATATACTAAAAAAAGAATTACAATATTACAGGTACACTACTGGTAGATCAATGTATGACATACTAAAAAAAAATTACAATATTACAGGTACACTACTTGTAGATCTATTACTGACATACTAAAAAAAGAATTACAATATTACAGGTACACTACTGGTAGATCAATATATGACATACTGAAAAAAGAATTACAATATTACAGGTACACTACTGGTACATGTAGATCAATATATGACATACTAAAAAAAGAATTACAATATTACAGGTACACTACTGGTACATGTAGATCAATATATGACATACTAAAAATAGAATAACAATATTACAGGTACACTGCTTGTAGATCAAGGCATGACACATACTCAAAATAGAATTACAAAATTACAGGTACACTACTGGTAGATCACTGTATGACATACTAAAAAAAGAATTACAATATTACAGGTACACTGCTGGTAGATCACTGTATGACATACAAAAAAAAAGAAATTACAATATTACAGGTACACTGCTGGTAGATCAAGGCATGACAGATACTAAAAAAAGAATTACAATATTACAGGTACACTGCTGGTAGATCACTGTATGACATACTAAAAAAAGAATTACATATTACAGGTACACTGCTGGTAGATCAAGGCATGACAGATACTAAAAATAGAATTACAATATTACAGGTACACTGCTTGTAGATCAAGGCATGACAGATACTAAAAAAAGAATTACAATATTACAGGTACACTACTGGTAGATCAAGGCATGACAGATACTAAAAATAGAATTACAATATTACAGGTACACTACTGGTAGATCAAGACATGGCAGATACTAAAAATAGAATTACATTATTACAGGTACATTACTGGTAGATCCATGTATGACATAATAAAAAAAGAATTACATTATTACAGGTACACTACTGGTAGATCCATATATGACATACTAAAAATAGAATTACATTATTACAGGTACACTACTGGTAGATCCATGTATGACATACTAAAAATAGAATTACAATATTACAGGTACACTACTGGTAGATCAAGACACTACTGGTACATGTAGATCATAGAATTACAATATTACAGGTACACTACTGGTAGATCCATGTATGACATACTAAAAATAGAATTACATTATTACAGGTACACTACTGGTAGATCAAGCAAAGACAGTTCTAACAATGAAGAAAGCTGTCAAGCATGTACAAGAAAAAATGACCAAACATAAAACAGAGGTAAGACCCATAATGCATTCTTTTATAACATGACCAATCATGTGTTATACGTTATAAGTTGTTAATACAAAAATTATAATAAGAAAATTTGGTATGATTGCCAATGAGACAACTTTCTACTATAGACAAAATGACATAGAAGTTGACAACTATAGGTCAGTGTATGGCCTTCAACAATGAGAAAAACCCATACCCTATAGTTGCCTATAAAAAGCCCCAAAATATCAAATTTAAAACAATTTGAACGAGAAAAGTAACCTCCAGATTTATGTACAAAACATGTTTAATAGTTCTCTCTAACTTTATCCAGAGGTATTTAAAACTGATCAGTTGATGAATTCAAATTTGCTTTAAGTCCAACTTGGTAAATCTTAGGTAAAATTATCTCAGCTGTTTGCCTGAGCTCAATTTTTCTTGATATTTTACGATTTACTTAAAAAGTCTTTTATAAATTCTGGGAATTAAACTGATAATTGATCATGTGGTACCTAAAAAATCAGGATATTAGCAGAAATTTCATAATACATGTTTGGCTATGTAATATAAAAATAAGATGTGGTGAGACAACTCTCCATCAAAGATTAAATGAGGTAGAAGTTAGCAACTATAGGTCATTGTACTGCCTCCCAACAATGAGCAAACCTCATATCGCATAGTAAGCTGTAAAAGGCCCCGAAATGACAAATGTAAAACAATTCAAACAAGAAAACTAACACCCTGATTTATGTACAATACAAAATAAAACAAAAAAACAAATATGATAAACAGCAACAAATGACAACCACTGAATTACAGGATCCTAACTCTGGACAGTCACATACAGAATGTGCTGGGTTAAACATGTTTGTGGGTGCCGACCCTCCCCCTTATCTGGGACAGTGTAAGTCAATTTTGGTTTCCAGATGATAGCTGGAGACATAAATTGATATAATATGTTCATACAAGAATTTACTTATTTCTGACCCTCATTTAACTCATTTGAACACACTAAAGGATTTGTAAGGCATGAAATAAGTGTTACTTTTGAAATTTACCTTTTATACCTAATTTATACCTTTCTGATTGGTTGATTATTTTTTGTAATCAACGTTTGGTTTGTTTTTGATCTCAGTTCTTCATTGGTCAAAATTCTATTATGACGTCAAATGTTTTTGCTGTCCTCTCAAAATACTGTTTTGATGTAATGAAAAAGGGTGATCATGTCTGATGATGTCACATATAAAGAACACATCTTTTTGCAGATCAATGAAAAAGAGAGAAAGTTTGCCATCTTATGATCAAGTTATAATCATTAGAGGAACAGATTCCACCTACCAATACAATATTTTTCCACTCTCAACCGTTTAATTTAAATATTGTAAAAGCTCATCAAGCCTTGCATTTTGAATTTTAAATATTTTAAAAGCTCCGCAAGCCTTGTGTTTTGAATTTTAAATAATTTAAAAGCTTAGCAAGCCTCGTGTTTTAAATCTAAAAATTTGATTGTCTCAAGTGGAGAAATATTGTATCACACTTGATGCAGTGGTATAATCTATAGATATAGTATTATTCCAAAAAAAATTATATATACATGTAATTAGAATATTTTTATGACTTTAAATTGAGATATTATGGTGTAACATTTTGTTTTTGATTTTTTTCAGTTAAAGTTACATTTGAAGACAAAGTTTCCAATAAAATCAAGAATACAACCTTGGATAAATGAACAAATCAGAGCCTTTGAGGTAGTCCAACTCTTTCATTACATTAAAAAACTATATACATGTATAAGGTCAATAAGAAAATAAGATAATATACACAGGATATACCTACCACAATCCGCCACCACACCTAGAGTAAATTCAGTTTTTTGTTCACGCAATTGTAATTATTCAATTAAACAACAATTAAAACTGAAGTTACTGTATGTACACAGGTAAGTTATGACGTAGGTGAGTTCATCTCAGGGATGTATATTTAATCACCTAGTTAATTGCGATGAGAACATGTTATGAAGGCAAACATATTCTATATAATATAAATGTAAATTTATGGTAAGTATATTTAACCCTATAATTTCATATAAAATCTCTTCTTTATTCAAAAATAACCATTTTTTGTGTGCAAAGAACAGTATTTTTATTTCTTTTATTTATCTTGTCTGTTACCTAATGATCTTTAAATGTTAATCTCAATATCTTAGAATTCTCAACTGACAAAAAAAGACTGCCAGAAGCATAAATATATGTCATCATTAAATCCTCATTGTCACTGGTTTTTGGGGTAAAGGTTGCATGAAATGCAATCAAAATCCTTATGGTCCTGACTTGATATCTATATTTTCCAAGGTTTATCACTACTCTTGATAGTTCAAACAAAAAAGTGCAGTGAAGTGATCATTATTTAGATCCTATCCAGTCAATGTCGTACAATTTATTGATGATATGTTATACTTTAATAATTATGTAATAGTATGATGTGTATTTGAATTACCATACTTGTCAAGAAAACATTTTGTATTAAAAATTACGTAAGTAATGCACAGTGTATGAATCTGTTATAAAAATAGGTTCAGTTACAAATGTTCAATCATAAACCTAGGAAGAAAACTCCAACTCAAATTTTAATTTTCCTAGCAAAATACTATTCAATGTTTTATTTAAAAATTCACAAAGTTGCAAAATGAAAGCAATCTTTACCCTTCAGTGCTCACAAGCACTTTGATTTGCTTGTTATGAGCAACACCACAAGTGCCACTAGTGGTGCAGGAATTGCTTATCCTTAAGCACATGCATTCATCCCCAATTTTTGTATGGGTCAGTGTGGCTCAGAATTTACTTTTATATGACAATTTCTGACAAATTCTGAATCATGACATTTTATAACATATTGAAACACTTATAAATGTTTTCATTTTAATGTTTTCCAGCAAGATTTTATAATCCAGAACTTATATTCAGCACATGAAGAAGCTATAGGTGTTTGTGAAGAACAGGGATTAAAGCAAGCTGTGTACTTCTTGAAAAGGGATCTAACTTTCATCAAAGAGGTAAACATTTGTTAAAAAAAATGTCAAAGTTTGTATTCATTATTTTAGATTAGAAGTGACATTTAGTTTTACTTTTATCTGTCCAATGAAAGATCTGTTAATTATCTTGTATCAGTCTGGACCAACTTTTTATGCCCCCGCCGTAGCCGAGGGGGCATTAAGTTTTACAATTGTCCGTCTGTACATACAAACGTATGTACGTCCCAAAGTTGGTTTCCGTTCTCAAACTTTAGTGTTTACCTCAACCAAATGTTATGAAACTTATCCACAATGCTTATTACCACAAAATACAGATCAAGATTGAATTTTGGTGGCGTCACTTTAACCGTTCTAGAGTTATGCCCCTTTACAAATGGAAAAATTGCTGAATTTTTCGTTTCTGTTCTCTAACTTAAGTTAGCCTCAACCAAATGTTATGAAACTTATACACAATGCTTATTACCACAAAACTCAGATCAAGAACAAATTTGGGTAGCATCACTTTTACCTTTCTAGAGTTATGTTCCTTTATAACTTTATATGATATGCAAGAGGGGGCATCTTATTACCACAAAACTCAGATCAAGAACAAATTTGGGTAGCATCACTTTTACCTTTCTAGAGTTATGTTCCTTTATAACTTTATATGATATGCAAGAGGGGGCATCATCTGTGTCCTATGGACACATTCCCCATTTATTTTTTAATGTAAATGATGTAATGGACCATTTAACAAGGTCAATATTTGACATTGAATTAATTTGATGTATTTCACTTTTGTAGTTTCTGTTATGCCTTTTTATTAAGTGGAAAACAAACAAATTGACCTACAATCTATAACTGTTCGTTAGGATGCATTTTAAGGATGTTCACTACTCTTATTTTTGACTTTTTGTCAGTTTTTTCAGAATCCTCTAGTTTATCCATATAGTTCCAAATAATAATTTTGCCCACTAACACCATCTTTTCTTTTCATAATTTTAATACATATAAATTGAAAAGCCATATTTGAAAATTTTATAAAATCCTTGTTATAGTTTTTGAATGAAAAAAGTTGCTAATGTTTAATGTATGGAAAATCTAAGAATCATTTTCAGCCTAATTTTCAAATAATTACATCTCAAAAACAAGGAAACAGACGTATAATTTTTTTTCTACTTTCTACTAAGTTCCTTTATTTATATACTATCAATTTATAACAGTCTTTAAAAAGCTTGTTTATTTGAACAGAGGAGCGAAATCATTTGTTGTAACATTATTTCTATGCAGCTCTATTGAAATCGCAATAATTAATCTCTCATGTTTATCCATTTTTCAACGAAAGCAATATTAAATGCACACAATTATTTCTGAATTAACAGTATGCTAAAATTTGTGACGACATATGTCTTTTTTGTCTGACAGGGAGTTCCATTTTTGTGGTTTAAAAATCTTAGGTTATGGACATTTTACACAAATCAACAGGAAGTAAAAACCCATGATGAATTGATATTTCCAATTCGGATGAAATCCAAAAGCATCAAGAAGTCATACCCCTGAATGAAATTTCCTAGTTTCTGTATAAAATAGTCACAACTTGAATGCTCAGAGCCAGTTATTAATAAACGGTAAAAAATGCCCAATAAATGAATAGATTAATATTTGACCAATAAAGATTTCAGTTTAATTTATATTTTCAGAGAGAATCAATTTTAATCACAGAACTGAGTAGAGAAACTTCCCCCAATAAAGTTTTTACTTTCTCTACAAGAATATGGATGCCCTCTAACTATGTTATCACCAAGACAACCAAAGGTCAATCAGAGGTCATACAAACTGTTGTAAAAGCTCAACTGATGCCTGAAAATTGGAGGAGTCAGGTAATGTCATGAAGATTATTGGTTTGATAAAAAAAAAATGTTTTATTTATAGTGTTGATAAAATTAACCAAAGATAATTTACCTGTAAATATAAATAAGAAGATGTGGTATGAGTGCCAATGAGACAACTATCCATCCAAGTCACAATATGTAACAAGTAAACAATTAAAGGTCAAAGTACGGCCTTCAACACGGAGCTTTGGCTCACACCGAACAGCAAGCTATAAAGGGCCTCAAAATGACTAGTGTAAAACAATTCAAACAGGAAAACCAACTGTCTAATCTATATAAGAAAGGAGAAACACTTATGAACCACACCAATAAACTGCAACCACTGAACAACAGGCTGGGTTGTTTGTTAGTTGAATAATACATATTTACCTGTGGAAAAAAAAATTTTAAATGGCAAAGGTCAAGTGAGTTATTTTCACTTGGCATCCATGGTCGTCTTCAGTTACCTTTTACAAAAAATCTTCTCCTCTGAAACTAGTGGGACACTTGGAATAAAACTTGGCTGCAATCATCATATGGATATCTACTTTAAAAATGTGTCTGATGATCTCCCATGCCAACCAACATGGTCGACATGGTTTTAGATAGAACACAGAAGTAGACTGCAAGTCTTGTCTATTATCTTGAAACTACTCAATCTATAGATAGAGAAAATCTGACAGAGGCAGAAATTTCCTGAATGTTGAGGTCTACCTACTGACAGTTGTTATCAAAACTCAAACTTACCCGTAAAAGACAATTTTAACCTTTTTATTTTTTCATTAAAACTATTGTAAACAGCAAAAATATTGAGGAAGACAAGATCTACAAATAAGTTAACTTATAGGAGTTATTGCCCTGAAATATAGATTTTTACCTGTTTTCTTTGTGTTGTTCTAAAACTATAGAAGATAAAGAGACACTGTATGCAGCAAAAATTATCACCAAGTCAATATCTTCAAATAGGTCAACAAAGTCATAATTGTTCTTTTCTTATAAAAGTTATTCAGCTTGAGTGACGATATTTTTTTTACCCAATTTATAATTTTGGGTAAAAAACTATATAAGATAAAGAGATCAATGAAAAAAGATATTTAAGTCATGAATAATATTTTGGTCTTCAATGTTATAAAATTCACAGGTGTGCAACACAGGTTTTTAGAGCCTCTTGTCTTTATGACATGATAGCAGTGTATTTTTAAGGAGAACAGATCATATTTATAATGAATATAATCATATGTCAGCGATATCAATCGCTGTATACAGATATGTTGAAAACAAAAGCTTTATTACAAATTTTGTTTCATATTTTACAACTATATATAGTCATATGATATGGGTTATGTTCTTCTCATATATTTTATGATGGTATGATACTAAACCCCTAATGGGAGGGATTGTACTTGATTTTCATATGATGAAAACATAATTTTTCAATCAGTTTAATTGAGGTCTGGAGCTGGCATGTCAGTAACTGCTAGTAGTCCTTTGTTAATTTATGTATCATTGTCATTTTCCTTAGTTTCTTTTGTTAACTATTCTGACATTGGACTCAGACTTCTTTTAAACTGAGTTTTACTGTGTGTATTGCTGTGTGTTTGTTTATTCTACATTGGCTAGAGGTATAGGGGAGGGTTGAGATCTCACAAAACATGTTTAACCTCGCCGCATTTTTGCGCCTGTCCCAAGTCAGGAGCCTCTGGCCTTTGTTAGTCTTGTATGTTTTTTAATTTTAGTTCATTTATATGTTTTGGAGTTTAGTGTGACATCCATTTTCATTGAACTAGTACACATTTTTGTTTAGGGGCCAGCTGAAACCCGCCTCTGGGTGCGGGATTTTCTCGCTGTGTTGAAGACTCATTGGTGGCCTTCGGCTGTTTTCTGCTCTTTGGTTGGGTTGTTGTCTCTTTGACATATTCCCCATTTCCATTTTCAATTTTATATGAATATAAGATAACCCTTGACGATCAAAGAGTAACATGATATATTTATACCCCACGCAACGGGTTGCGGAGGGTATAATGTTTTTGACCCGTCCGTCCGTCTGTACGTCTGTCCGTCTGTCCGTCAGTCCGTCAGTCCGTCAGTCCTGTTTCTTGTCATCGCAACTCCTCTCAAACCACACAACAGAATTTCACGAAACCTTTTTAGATAATAAGGACATACTATGTAGTTCTGCATATAGACAGGAAATTACGATTCAATTTTTTTCTAGGAGTTACTTCCCTTTGAACTTATTTGCTTCAATGTACTACTGCAACAGTTTGTCATCGCAACTCCTCTGAAACCACACCACAGAATTTCATGAAACTTTGTAGATAATAAGGACATACTATGTAGATGTGCATATCGACAGGAAATTACGATTCAATTTTTTTTCTAGGAGTTAAACCCCTTTGAACTTATTTGCTTCAATGTACTACTGCAACAGTTTGTCATCGCAACTCCTCTGAAACCACACCACAGAATTTCATGAAACTTTGTAGATAATAAGGACATACTATGTAGATGTGCATATTGACAGGAAATTATGATTCAATTTTTTTTCCTTACACTTATTTTATTTCTCCAATGACAATGTGGGGAAGTGGGGTATGTGAGCGCGCTCACTATGGTTCTTTAATTATGAATGAAATAAAACAGCAGATTGTTTAAAAATCACGTTTAAACTCAACAAAATTGTTTAGGATATTGAAATACAAAACAAATGAAATAAAATTTACATGTTTTAAGTGTCCATATCAGTATTTGCCATCATCCTAGATAGACTTGAAATATTTGCCATTGAACATTAGAGTCATGAAACGAGTTTCTTCTAATTTTGATATTATCGAAATTATTGAACCAATATATGCATGCAAGGATCCGGAAATTTTTTCACACAATTTCGGTCATTTTGAGGTAACTTAAAAGTTTTGCAATTTTTCAAACAAAAAAAAAATTGTCGAAATTACACTAGATTCAAACATCAACGAACTTGTTTTGACTGTTTCATAGCATTTACTTCATGAATTTTCTTACCTTTTTTTCTTAAAATGTTCAAGAACGATTAAGGGAAGGCAACAGTTTAAAAATGAAACGATTTTAATGACTCAAAATGGTAAATTTCTCAGACATAGCTAACGTTTCTTTCGATTTTGAAGATGAAACTAAAACCTGATGTTTTCGACAATACTAAAGTACGAGTAATTCCAGACTCATTTCCGGGATTCGTTTTGTTTATCAAATTGACAGAAAATCACCGGCTTTTTAATTCTTTACCTTTAAAAGTGTTTGAATATTACAGATAATAGTTGCACTTGATTTATTTAGCATGAAATCATTTTGCATTTTACGATTAAGTGTCTTATCTGCTGAAGAGAATTTCGCGCATGCGTATTACATAGTAAATAAAGCACGTGTGTTACTCGTGAAAAAATACTTTTTTCTACGTAAATTAGATAAAGTTTTAAATTTTAAATCAGAATTGACGATTGTCTTTGCTGAAAAGTAATTAAATAATGAAGACAGTTGTCATGGAATTTTAATTTCTGTATAATTAGTTCTGAGCTTGTGATCCATGTCAGGACTCAGGTGTGAATTAAAAACACAGGTAAAAAGAGATTAGCGATCATTAGCCAAAATTTCCCGGAGGCATTAATATAGTTATCAAGAGGGCCCTCAGGATTATAATACTATACTGTAGTGGCAGTTTTATTACAGGAAAGGGATAACAAAACAAAAACAAGTGCAAAATGGCGATTAAGAAACCTGATCTCAACGACATGACCGAAATTATTTCTGTAAAAATTTAAATTTGTCCTAAATCTCAATTTGTCGTTTAGGACAAATCGATTTCAGATTCGGTCATGTCTGGCAAATATGACCGTTTCCGGACCCTTGTTTGCATGTATACTAAATTTAGTCCTGTATGCATAAATTTATTACTAATAAATAATGTATTGTCGACAAATATGTAAATATTTCATTCAGTGATTGTTGAATGCAAGCTAATCAACTTTCAAGTTTGTTGCTGAAGTTTACTGGATCGTGACATTGATAAGCTATCAACACAGACCACTTGGAGTATGTGACAAATAAGTGAATTGATAAAGCCATGATATTTTTATGCCCCACTTATGAAAGTGGGGCATTATGTTTTTAGCTGACCTGACCTGAAAGGTCTAGTGAGCTTTTCTCATCACTTTGCGTCCGTCGTCCTGCGTCCGTCGTCCGTCATCGGTAAACTTTTACAAAAATCTTCTCCTCTGAAACTACTGGGCCAAATTTGACCAAACTTGGCCACAATCATCATTGGGGTATCTAGTTTAAAAAATGTGTCCGGTGACCCGGCCAACCAACCAAGATGGCCGCCATGGCTAAAAATAGAACATAGGGGTAAAATGTAGATTTTGGCTTATATCTCTGAAACCAAAGCATTTAGAGCAAATCTGACTGGGTAAAATTGTTCAACAGGTCAAAATCTATCTGCCCTGAAATTTTCAGATGAATCGGACAACTTGTTGTTGGGTTGCTGCCCCTGAATTGGTAATTTAAAGGAAATTTTGCCGTTTTTGGTTATTATCTTGAATATAATTATAGATGGAGATAAACTGTAACAGCAATAATGTTCAGCAAAGTAAGATCTACAAATAAGTCAACTTGACCAAAATGGTTAGTTGACCCCTTAAGGAGTTATTGCCCTTTATAGTCAATTTTTAACCATTTTTCGTAAATTTTTGAAATCTTTTACAAAAATCTTCTCTGAAACTACTAAGACAAATTTAACCAAACTTGTCCACAATCATCATTAGGGTATCTAGTTTAAAAAATGTGTCCGATGACCCCTCTCGTGAACCAAGATGGCCGACATGGCTAAAAAATAGTACATAGGGTAAAATGCAGCTTTTGGCTCGTATCTCTGAAACCAAAGCATTTAGAGCAAATCTGATGAGTATAAAATTGTTCATTAGGTCAACATCAATCTGCCCTGAAATTTTCAGACCAATCAGGCAACACGTTGTTGGGTTGCTGCCCCTGAATTGGTAATTTTAAGAAAATTTTGCAGCTTTTGGTTATTATCTTGAATATTATTATAGATAGAGATAAACTGTAAACAGCAATAATGTACAGCAAAGTTAGATCTACAAATAAGTCAACATGACCAAAATTGTCAATTGACCCCTTAAGGAGTTATTGCCCTTTATAGTCAATTTTTTACAATTTTCATAAATTTTGTAAATTTTTGTAAATTTTTACAAAATATTTTCCACTGTAACTACTGGGCCAAGTTCATTATAGATAGAGATAATAGTAAGGAGCAAGAATGTTCAGTAAAGTAAGATCTACAAACACATCACCATCACCAAAACACAATTTTGTCATGAATCCATCTGTGTCCTTTGTTTAATATGCACATAGACCAAGGTGAGCGACACAGGCTCTTTAGAGCCTCTAGTTGGTTATTATCTTGAATATTATTATAGATAGAGATAAACTGTAAACAGCAATAATGTTCAGCAAAGTAAGATCTACAAATAAGTCATCATGACCAAAATTTTCAATCGACCCCTTTAGGAGTTATTGCCCTTTATATTCAATTTTTAACAATTTTTGTAATCTTTAACAAACATCTTCTTCTCTGAAACTACTGAGACAAATTTAACCATACTTGGCCATAATCATAATTAGGGTATCTAGTTTAAAAAATTTGTTAGATGACCCTGCCTTTCAATCATCATGGCCAACATGGTTAAAAATAGAACATAGGGGTAAAATGCAGTTTTTATATGACCGCCAAAAATTTTAATAAGCATTTTTGTAACTTCCAGACATAACTTGTGTGTTAGTGTATGGATCTCTCTGACATTGTACCACAAGGTTCCATATCACAAAGGGAATGCTGGGATTGATTTTGGGGGTAATTGCCTCAAAACTTTAGGAATTAGGGGCCAAAAAAGGGGCAAAAAACCAAGCATTTTTCTAGTTTCATGACAATAGCTTGTGTGTAAGTGTATGGATCTTTCTGAAATTGTACTACAAGGTTCCATATCACAAAGGGAAAGCTGGAATTGAGTTTGGGGGTAATTGCCCAAAACGTTTAGGAATTTGGGGCCAAAAATAAGCATTTTTCTAGTTTCCAGACAATAACTTGTGTTCGAGTGTATGGATCTCTCTGAAATTGTACTGCAAGGTACCTTACCACAAAGGGAAGTCTGGGATTGATTTTGGGGGTAATTGCCTCAAAATTTTAGGAATTAGGGGTCAAAAAGGGGAAAAAACAAGCATTTTTATACGACCGCAAAAATTAAAAATTTTTTGGTCGTATATTGGTATGACGTTGGCGTCGTCGTCGTCGTCGTCGTCGTCGTGGTCTGGCGTCGTCCGGCGTCGTCCGAAGACACATTGGTTATCGCACTCTAACTTTAGTTTAAGTGAATGGATCTCTGTGAAATTTTACCATAAGGTTCAATACCACAAAAGGAAGGTTGGGATTGATTTTGGGGGTTATGGTACCAACAGTTAAGGAATTAGGGGCCAAAAAGGGGCCAAAAATAAGCATTTTTGTAACTTCCAGACATAACTTGTGTGTTAGTGTATGGATCTCTCTGAAATTGTACTGCAAGGTACCATACCAAAAAGGGAAGGCTGGGATTGATTTTGGGGGTAATTGCCTCAAAATTTTAGGAATTAGGGGCCAAAAAGGGGAAAAAAACAAGCATTTTTCTACTTTCAGGACAATAACTTGTGTTCAAGTGTATGGATCTCTCTAAAATTGTACTGCAAGGTTCCATACCACAAAGGGAAGGCTGGGATTGAGTTTGGGGATGATGAATCATAAGGGGTTTCAAAAAATTTGGGGGGGGGATTTTTTTTTTTTCCTTTTTTTTTTTTTTTTAAATTTTCCATTTTAAGTTGGTTATTTCTGATTTATATTTAAAAGCAAATAATAATGATATGGTAGGAGATACACACCAAACAGGATGTGTAAATTATTATATAATAAGTATTGTGCAATAGCAAGAAATTTTCAATTGCACAGTATTGCACAATAGCAAGAAATCTTCCATTGCACAGTATTGCGCAATAGCAAGAAATCTTCAATTGCACAGTATTGCGCAATAGCAAGAAATTGTCAATTGTACAGTATTGCGCAATAGCAAGAAATATTCAATTGCACAGTATTGTGCAAAAGAAGATACTTCGTATAAATTGCTTATTTCTTGACCAATTTCAATGGGGTTTTATTCTTGAATTCTTGGGGTTCTTTAATGTGCTGAATCTAACCGTGTATTAAGTTTTTGGATTTTGGGCCCCGTTTTTAAATTGGTCCACATTGAGGTCCAAAGGGTCCAAAATTAAACTTTGTTCGATTTCATCAAAAATTGAATTATTGGGGTTCTTTGATATGCCGAATCTAACCGTGTATTTAGATTCTTAATTTTTGGTTCCATTTTCAAATTGGTCTACATTAAGGTCCAAAGGGTCCAAAATTAAACTAAGTTTGATTTTAACAAAAATTTAATTCTTAGGGTTCTTTGATATGCTGAATCTAAACATGTATTTAGATTTTTGATTATGGGCCCAGTTTTCAAGTTGGTCCAAATCGGGGTCCAAAATTAAACTTTGTTTGATTTCAACAAAAATTGAATATATGGGGTTCTTTGATATGCTGAATCTAACCATGTATTTAGATTTTTGATTTTTTGGGCCCCGTTATCAACTTTGTCCACATTGAGGTCAAAAGGGTCCTAAATTAAACTTTGTTTGATTTCATCAAAAATTGAATTCTTGGGGTTCTTTGATATGCTGAATCTAACCATGTATTTAGATTTTGGATATTGGACCATAATAGGTGAATGTCCAATTTAAAATTTTTAAGTTCTTAGACCACATTCATTCTGTGTCAGTAACCTATGCTGTGTCAAATATTTAATCACAATCCAAATTCAGAGCTGTATCAAGCTTGAATGTTGTGTCCATACTTGCCCCAACTGTTCAGGGTTCGACCTCTGCGGTCGTATCAAGCTGCGCCCTGCGGAGCATTTTATTCTAATTTAAGGACAATAACTTGTGTGTAAGTGTATGGATCTTTATGAAATTGTACTACAAGGTTCCATATCACAAAGGGAAAGCTGGGTTAGAGTTTGGGGGTAATTACCCTAAACATTTAGGAATTTGGGGCCTAAAAACAAGCATTTTTCTAGTTTCCAGACAATAACTTGTGTTCAAGTGTATGGATCTCTCTGAAATTGTACTGCAAGGTACCATACCACAAAGGGAATGCAAGGATTGAGTTTGGGGGTGATGAATCATAAGGGGTTCAAAAAATTAGGGGGGGGATTTTTTTTTTCTTTAAAATTTTTCATTTTAAATTGGTTATTTTCTGATTTATATATAAAAGCAAATAATAATGATATGGTTTGAATAGGTAAATTAAAAATTTAAGTTCTTAGACCACATTCATTCTGTGTCAGAAACCTATGCTGTGTCAAATATTTAATCACAATCCAAATTCAGTGCTGTATCAAGCTTGAATGTTGTGTCCATACTTGCCCCAACTGTTCAGGGTTCGACCTCTGCGGTCGTATCAAGCTGCGCCCAGCGGAGCATTTTATTGGTTTATATCTCTGAAACTAAAGCATTTAGAGCTAATCTGACAGGTGGCAAAAATGTTCATCAGATTTAGATTTATCTGCCCTGAAATTTTCAGACGAATCCGACAACCCGTTGTTGGGTTGCTGCCCCTGAGTTAGTAATTTGACAGAAATTTGGCAGTTTTTTGTTATTATCTTAGATATCATTATAATATCTAATACTATTAATTATGATTTTAACCTTATTTTACATGATTTCCAAAGCATCAGTAAATACAGGTGAGCGACACAGGCTCTTGAGAGCCTCTAGTTTGTTCTGTGTGTTCATCCGTCCGTCCATCCGTCTGTCTGTCCCACTTCAGGTTAAAGTTTTTGGTCAAGGTAGTTTTTGATGAAGTTGAAGTCCAATCAACTTGAAACTTAGTACATATGTTCCCTATGATATGATCTTTCTAATTTTGATGTCAAATTAGAGTTTTGACCCCAATTTCATAGTTCACTGAACATAGAAAATGATAGTTCTAGTGGGGCATGGGTGTACTATGGACACAATCTTGTTTTTTATTTTTCTGTGTTCCCATTTGTTAATTAAACTTTTCCTTAACAGTTGTTAAAGGATTTGTTGTATTAAATTTGTTCTTAAGAATCAGTTATTACTATTTACCTCCCAGTGCACGTTTTTTTACATTCTTTCATCACAGTTTTCCTCTCGCTCTTGCGGTGTGCAGTAGCTAAGTTTTAAAGAGAGATCTCCTAGTAAGGTCACTGCATACAGGGAAATATTAGCAAATTAGTGTACGGGAAGACAATAATTCATTAGCTGTACATTTATGAATATTTTGATAGTATGGAGGATTTTCTTTTAATACGAGAAAGTTCACGTACACTTGTTTTATAGTAAAACTTAGCCATTCAAGAACATGTATATAAAACATATTCAACTTTTTTTTAATTTGAATTTCATATGTCTTTAAGCAAACACCAATCAATCAATATTTTTGTCATTCTGCTCAGTGTGTGTGTCATTTTCATGTAGAATTTTGAAAGTGGCATTTTTGAAGTATTTTAATTCTTTATTGCATTGTCACCCTTACTTTAGAAAATGTATGCACGATTGTTGTTAACTTATCTTTAATACCATTAAAATATTTTGTTTTGATTGCTGCAGAAATCAGATGACATCCATTATAGTGTGGAGAAGAATACACAAAAGTTGACAACAAGTCATTACCCTTTCTGGAGATGGTGGAATTTCCTTGTTAGAATTCTCACTTGGATGAAGAACTCTATATTCATGTTTGGGGTAAAGTAAAAATATTTAAAAAATATTCTTAAGGTGGTACCTAACACTACAGGGAGATAACTCAAGTAAAAGGGAGTAAAATCAGCTAAACGTTTTAATTACGTTGTGTTGTTAAGGGAATATTAAGCTTCTCAATGATCAAAGTTAGTGTTTGTCAAACTGCTATATAACCAGTCTAATTTTTCTGATAAATTGGTTTGTTCAAATTTTTTGAAATTTTTATATTTTTGTCAAAGGGTCAAAGTAAATACTTTGTCAAAATTTTATGAAAATTAAACGAGCCAAATTAATTTTAGTGAAGGTGTTGGGTACCACCTTAATTGGACAAATGTATACTGGAATAAGTTTATTAGAATACATGGATATTGTTTGTGAACTACCATTATGATACCTCACTCTAGAACTGGGGCTATATTGCATTCAACTTGGCAGTCTGCCTATCTGTCTGTCTGTGTGTCCTTCTGTCAGTCTGTGCATCCATCTATCTGTTCTTCTAACAAATATTTCAATCACACTTTTCTCCAAACAAAATGACTTCATATTTGGATCAGCAAATTGATAGTACTATGTGAGCACTTTCCGTATCTGTCATGCACCTACTTCCTGTTTGCTGATACTTCAACTTTTCCAATATGTTGAATGAAATTTGATAATGATTTTCGTCACTCTTTCCTCAGGTACTACTGAACAGAAAAACTGCAAAATTGATCAGCAGCTTGACAGAAACTAGTAACATTTGAGTTATTTTCAGGTCTGTCAGACACCTACTTCCTGTGTCTGGATACTTTAAATTTTTCAATATGTTGAATGAACTAAAATTTTTCATCACATTTTTATGATGTACTACTGAACTGAACGACTTCATATGTAGTCAGCAGCTTTTGAGTAATTCATATGTAGTCAGCAGCTTTTGAGTAATGAGTTGGAATGTGGGAAAACTTTTCAGATCTGTCATACATCTTCCAGTTTTTTGATATTTGAAATACATGTGGGGTATGCTTATCATGACATGATATCACATACATCTTCTTATTCATACTAAATATACAGCATATATCTTTTTACCAAAACAATTATTGCTAAGTTATACTGAAATGTTCAGGACTTACAAATACTTTTTCTTGCAAGATTTTTACCTGCATTGCAACTACGAAAGCCTGTATAAGAAGCACTCCACTCTGTCTGTACATCTTAAAGACCTTAGGTAGAAAAACTTTTGTGAAACTTTTCTTTGCTTTTCTTTCAATGGAAGGGAAGGATTTAATATTTGGTCTGGAGCTTGATAATGATAAGTTATAGCATGTAAGCAATTTTTCACATTTGCCATGCAGCAACTTCCTGTCTGCCAACAGATTGAAATTTTACAACATTTATTGTACATGGAAAATTTTGTCAAATTTTTCTTGGCTTCTATGGAAGGCAATGATTTTATATTTTGTCTGCAGCTTGATAATGATGAGTTGTAAGGTGTAAGCGATTTTTACATCAGCTGTGCAGCCACTTCCTATTTGCCAATAGTTTGAAATTTTACAACATTCATTGTACAAAGAAAATTTTTGTCAAATTTTTCTTGGGCTTCTATGGAAGGAAGTGATTTTATATTTGGTCTGCAGCTTGATAATGATGAGTTGCAAGGTGTAAGCTATTTTTATATCTGCTGTGGAGCCACTTCCTGTTTGCCAATAGTTTGAAATTTTACAACATTTATTGAACAAGGAAAATTTTGTCAAATTAATCTTGGCTTCAATGGAAGAGAATGATTTTATATTTGGTCTGCAGCTTGAGAATGAAGATTTTTAGCATATAAGAAATTTTTACATCTTTCTTGCAGCTTCTTCTTGACTTTTCTCAGGAGCTACAAATTTTCCTGAAATGTGATATCATGATTCATATGAGCATGATATATACATTAGTGATAGAACCTGATATTTTACTATGGTTGTCTCATCATAGGTTGAAATCTGGTTGCCAGCAAGGTTAACCATTCCTCTTGGTTGAAGCATTCAAGCCACAAGGACAGATGTAAAGGATGGGCCATTGTCACCTTCATTGTTTGAGCTTTTGATTTTGCCATTTGATAAAGGATTTTCTGTTTTGAATTTTCCCTGGAGTTTGGTATTTTTGTTATTTTACTTTATAGTTTTACTATGATGTATTTTCAGATTCATCTCTTAGAAACTTCCTGTTACTTGTGAGCCATATATAGCTCATAGGGCAACTTGTTTATGTTAGATTATGAGTAAAAATTTTACTGTAAATTCTGATATCTGATACATATATCTGTATGCAGATTTTCCTGAAATGGCAATAATTAATCTCACATTTTTGTCTATTCTTCAAAAATCGCAATAATAAATGGACACAATAATTTCTGAATTTACAGAATATATTCTCTGATACCATGTTTTACTAAATGAATTTGAGCTCTGATAATGCTGTGGAGGAACATTTTCTTATACATTTGTGTTTTTATAGTAAAAGAAATAGCTATAATGCATTATAAGAAAAACTTGTATGATTATTTATAGATTGTGATTCCATTATGCAGTGCTTTAAGCTGGAGAGCATTGTTTGGTATTCAACAGTTCTATCCAGACTCTCAGCTTTGTCAGGCAGATGTAAGTTTTTGATCTTTTTTTAACAATTATAAATGTTTGTATTCAGGGTTGAGATCTCAACTGAGTTGTACTGTGCGTACTGTTGTACGTTTGTTTTTTCTACATTGGCTAGAGGTATAGGGGGAGGGTTGAGATCTCAAAAAACATGTTTAACCCCGCCGCATTATAGCGCCTGTCCCAAGTCAGGAGCCTCTGGCCTTTGTTAGTCTTGTATCATTTTTATACGACCGCAAAAAAATTTTTGTGGTCGTATATTGGTATGACGTTGGCGTCGTCTCCGTCGTCGTCGTCCGGCGTCGTCGTACGAAGACGCATTAGTTTTCGCACTCTAACTTTAGTTTAAGTGAATGGATCTCTATGAAATTTTACCATAAGGTTCAATACCACAAAAAGAAGGTGGGGATTGATTTTGGGGGTTATGGTACCAACAGTTAAGGAATAAGGGGCCAAAAAGGGGCCAAAAATAAGCATTTTCTAGTTTCCAGACAATAACTGTGGAACGGTGTATGGATCTCTCTGAAATTATACTACAAGTTTCCATACCACAAAGGGATGGTTAGGATTTGCTTTGGGGGGTTATTGCTCAAACCGTTTAAGAATTAGGGGCAAAAAAGGGGGAAAAACAAGGTTGTCCTCATTAATGGACAAATACTTTAGTACAAAACATAATTTAAAGCAGTGTAAGGGAGATAAATCAAATACATCATTGAAATTATCTCCCTTACACTGCTTTTAAATTATGTATAAAGTAATGGTTAATGAACAACTAAGATAATTTAAAACAGTGTAAGGGAGGTAATCCAAATACAACTTTTTGGTTACTTCCCTTACACTGCTTTTAAATTATGTTTAAAGAAATGCATATTTATAAAGGAAGACCAGTATGGCGCATTAGATTTGTAAAATCTTTGACCACATTTATTTATTTGTTATGCTGAATCTAACCATGTATTTAGATTTTTTATTTGTGGACCCCGCTATCAAATTGGTTCATATTGAGGTCAAAAGGGTCCAAAATTAAACTTTGTTTGATTTCATCAAAAATTGAATTATTGGGGTTCTTTGATATGCCAAATCTAACCGTGTATTTAGATTTTTAATTTTGGGTCCTGTTTTTTAAATTGGTCTACATTAAGGTCCAAAGGGTCCAAAATTAAACTTAGTTTGATTTTAACAAAAATTGAATTCTTGGGGTTCTTTGATATGCTGAATCTAAACATGTGTTTAGATTTTTGATTATGGGCCCAGTTTTCAAGTTGGTCCAAGTTGGGGTCCAAAATTAAACTTTGTTTGATTTCAACAAAAATTGAATATATGGGGTTCTTTGATATGCTGGATCTAAACATGTATTTAGATTTTTAATTTTTGGCCCAGTTTTCAAGTTGGTCCAAATTGGGGTCCAAAATTAAACTTTGTTTGATTTCAACAAAAATTGAATATATGGGGTTCTTTGATATGCTGAATCTTACCATGTATTTAGATTTTTTATTTGTGGGACCGCTATCAAATTGGTTCATATTGCTCAGGTCAAAAGGGTCCAAAATTAAACTTTGTTTGATTTCATCAAAAATTGAATTATTGGGGTTCTTTGATATGCCAAATCTAACCGTGTATTTAGATTTTTAATTTTGGGTCCCGTTTTTTAAATTGGTCTACATTAAGGTCCAAAGGGTCCAAAATTAAACTTAGTTTGATTTTTAACAAAACTTTAATTTTTGGGGTTCTTTGATATGCTGAATCTAAATATGTGTTTAGATTTTTGATTATTGGCCCAGTTTTCAAGTTGGTCCAAGTTGGGGTCCAAAATTAAACTTTGTTTGATTTCAACAAAAATTGAATATATGGGGTTCTTTGATATGCTGAATCTAAACATGTATTTAGATTTTAGATTTTTGGCCCAGTTTTGAAGTTGGTCCAAATTGGGGTCCAAAATTAAACTTTGTTTGATTTCAACAAAAATTGAATATATGGGGTTCTTTGATATGCTGAATCTTACCATGTATTTAGATTTTTTATTTGTGGGCCCGCTATCAAATTGGTTTATATTGAGGTCAAAAGGGTCCAAAATTAAACTTTGTTTGATTTCATCAAAAATTTAATTATTGGGGTTCTTTGATATGCCAAATCTAACCGTGTATTTAGATTTTTAATTTTGGGTCCCGTTTTTTAAATTGGTCTACATTAAGGTCCGGAGGGTCCAAAATTAAACTTAGTTTGATTTTAACAAAAATTGAATTTTTGGGGTTCTTTGATATGCTGAATCTCAACATGTGTTAAGATTTTTGATTATGGGCCCAGTTTTCAAGTTGGTCCAAGTTGGGGTCCAAAATTAAACTTTGTTTGATTTCAACAAAAATTGAATATATGGGGTTCTTTGATATGCTGAATCTTACCATGTATTTAGATTTTTTATTTGTGGGCCCGCTATCAAATTGGTTCATATTGAGGTCAAAAGGGTCCAAAATTAATCTTTGTTTGATTTCATCAAAAATTGAATTATTGGGGTTCTTTGATATGCCAAATCTAACCGTGTTTTTAGATTTTTAATTTTGGGTCCCGTTTTTTAAATTGGTCTACATTAAGGTCCAAAGGGTCCAAAATTAAAGTTAGTTTGATTTTAACAAAAATTGAATTCTTGGGGTACTTTGATATGCTGAATCTAAACATGTGTTTAGATTTTTTATTATGGGCCCAGTTTTCAAGTTTGTCCAAGTTGGGGTCCAAAATTAAACTATGTTTGATTTCAACAAAAATTGAATATATGGGGTTCTTTGATATGCTGAATCTAACCATGTATTTTGATTTTGGACATTGGACCATAATAGGTAAATTAAAAAAATTGAAGTTCTTAGACCACATTCTTTCTGTGTCAGAAACCTATGTTGTGTCAAATATTTAATCACAATCCAAATTCAGAGCTGTATCAAGCTTGAATGTTGTGTCCATACTTGCCCCAACTGTTCAGGGTTCGACCTCTGCGGTCGTATCAAGCTGCGCCCAGCGAAGCATTTTATTAATTTTAGTTTCTTGTGTATAATTTGGAGTTTAGTATGACGTCCATTATCACTGAACTAGTATACATATTTGTTTAGGGGCCAGCTGAAGGACGCCTCCGGGTGCGGGAGTTTCTCACTGCATTGAAGACCCATTAGTGGCCTTCGGCTGTTGTCTGCTCTATGGTCGGGTTGTTGTCTCTTTGACACATTCCCCATTTCCATTCTCAATTTTATGATAAAAAAACATTCTCTAACACCTTAGGTAGAAGTGAGAGGAAAAAGTACATGTTCTAGCCCCTGTTGGGGAGAAAGTAACTAATCAGATCTACACTAAAATTGTTTATATAAATAAGAAGATGCGGTATGAGTGCCAATAAGACAACTCTCCATCCCAGTCACAATGTATAAAAAGTTAACAATCATAGGTCAAAGTACAGCCTTCATCACAGACCCTTGGCTCACATCGAACAGCAAGCTATAAAGGGCCCCAAAATGACTAGTGTAAAACAATTCAAACAGGAAAATCAATTTTTAGTCTATATATATGTGTGTAAAATTCTATAAAGGTGATGGACATTTAAACAAATGTACCATAATGATAAAATTAAAGGAACTACAGTCGCAAAAAAAATGAAAAAAGTTAATTTTTGATCTTCAATTTCATGAAGTTGACAAATGAATATTCCAATAAAAACAATAAAAACAATATATTAATGAAGTTGCCCTGCAAAATAGGCAGAAAGTAGCACTATCACTGTGGATATGTTTGGTATTTTGAGAAATTTTCATTGTAACAGGTTGCCTACAGACTTGTTAAAGAATGATTGAAAGAATTTTTTAGGGGGTACAGAAGAGCACCTTAGTTTACATGTTAAAGTATTTCCATTTTCGTTTAAATATTTGCATTAAACTATCAAAATTACATATCTCTGTGCCAACAGTTTATTTTGTAGGTAAATATGTTTAAAGCAGTGATAATGTCAAATATTAAAAAGTGGGGAAAAAAACAGTGTTGAGAAAAGTAGATTAATGTTTGTGTTGAACTCTAATAGAATAGACCTGACATTTTCAGCAGTAGACACTACTGGTAAAAAGTAAAAGCATTTGCTTAATTTTTTGCTTTTTAGAAAAGAAATAAATTTTATGCCCCACCGATGCTAGAACAGGGGAATAGTGTTTTTTTTAGATTTTACGTAAGTCTGATATTCTGTCCATGTTATTTTCAATCTGTTCGGCCATCCAGTACTGTGGATTCATTTATTTTCGTGGATACCAATTTTTATGGATTGACGAAAAATTGTGTTTTCATGGATATTGGATTTCATGGTTTTGCCAAAGTCTGCAAACAAGCCTATAAAAATTAACATTTTTCTTAATCATTCAAATTTGTGGTTCATTTATAACCTTGAAATCCACAAAAATTGATATTCCACGGAAATAATATAGCCTCCGGGTGCAGGATTTTCTAGCTGTGTTGAAGACCCATTGGTGGCCTTGGGCTGGTTTCTGCTCTTTGGTCGGGTTGTTGTCTCTTTGACACATTCCCCATTTCCATTCTCAATTTTAGCTGGAAGGGGAGCAAAATGTTTTTTGGCCTGTACATGAGTCTGATATTCTGCTTATATGATATTCAATCCGTTTGTCCGTCTGTCTGTCAGGTTTCAAGTTTTTGGTTAAGGTCAAGGTTACAACAACTTGAAAATTAGTACACATTGTTCATATGAACTGTTTAAATTACATGCAATAATATAGTTTTGACCCCAGTTTCCCATTCACTGATCATAGAAATGTGATAGTTTGAAACCAGTCCATTCTCTGGTTAGAGTTTTTGGATAAGGTAGTTTTACCATGAAATTGAGGTCATATCAACTTGAAACTTAGTTCACATGTTCATTTTGATGTGAACTATTTAAATATGTACAGTGAACATAAAAATATGACAGTGCTAGCAGGATATTGTGTCCTAGGGACAGATATTTTTATTTTTTGATATTTCATAAGGATACAAATGATTCTTTTTGTTGGAATACAATTTATAATTATAGGGTGCTTTATACAAAAGAGAGTCTTCCAAAACTCATACAATGGTTTCCAGGATAAGAGCTTTATGGGAACATGTTCGAATATCCAGAAAGAAATTTGAAGAAACCCCTGATAGAGGTAGGTCATTTTCATTTTGTTATAATTATGTAAATTTCTAAATATTTCAACTATTTACAAAGTTGCAAATGCATGGCTGAATTAAACTCTAAATTTAAATGAAAACAATTTTTCCAACTTTTCAATAGTTTATTAAAAGTCTTCTTTTTAGTCAAGATAGAAAATTTTGACACATTTATAATAATAGTTACTTTATATCTTGAATAGTTAAAGTTAACTAGTGTCAGAGGTTAAGAATATGGGTGCATCATATTTGCACCCATATTCATTTTTTTTAACAGTTGTACAGGAAATAACAGGTTTGTATACAAAATTCATAACAAATATGTCAACATTTTTTTATTTTGAATGTAGTACAAAATTTGTATTATATTTTCATATTGAGTACATTATTTCTGATCAAATTGATAACCTAAGAAGCCCCTGAAAGCTTGTTAGACATGCATGATACAGGGCCTATAATAAGCACTTGTTATACCTGTGCATTTTAGAATCATGATACAGGGCCTAAGTGCTTGTTTTACCTGTGCATATTAGAATAGACTTATTCTACTCACCCAAAATCCGTCATGGTCGAGCTAGGGACTAAGATTAATAGAAAGGGTATAAATGAGGTATAGGTTATTGTGTCATATCAAAATAATATTTTTTTACTGGCAAATAATTGAATTGGGTTTACCTGTTAAATTAATGTGTGCAAATGTAATAAAAAGCTGTGAGCAAATGTAATGAACCTAAAAATATTAAATTTTTGTTGACTTAAGTAATTAATTTAAAAATTTGTTCAACATATTGAATTATTGACAGTAAGTTATTAGACTGAAATATGAATCAAAATGTTGAAAGACTTCGAAAAAAATTTGAAATGCAACTATTGTAGTGTTTCTATTTTCTGTTTTAATGGACACCATTTTAATGTCATGTTAGAGCATTTTGTATATACATTTCAGGTTTTCTGGGGAAAAGTTTTGCGAGACATTTTAACAGATTTTGGAACTACATTCTGAAAGGTGGAGTAGGGACGTTTTTTATAGCAGTATCTATGCCAGTCCTGTGTACAGTGACATCTACATTGTCAGTGATATTAGCAATATCAGCCCCATTATGGTATGATCTGTTTTTAGTCCCCTACCGACGAAGTCGAAGGGGACTTTAAGTTTGCACTCCGTCCATCTGTCTGTCCGTCCGTCTGTCCATCCGTCAGTCCTGCAAATCAGCTTTCCACACTTTTTTTCTTCGTTCTTAAAGATATTGATTTGATATTTGGTATATAGTTTTATCATGACAAGTTATAGATCAAGTTCGAATTTTGTTCCGATCTGATGATTTAGTCAGGAGTTATGGACCATAACTCTGGACCATATCTAATGTTAGAGTACTATGTTAAACCATATTTCTGTACAAAGGGAGATAACTCATTTTTTAAAAGACATTCTTTATTAAATTATTTGAAGAATTTTTTGGCAGGTTTATTTTTTAATTAGTATAAACTAATTTTCTGAATGCTATATATATAAAAAAAAATTATGAAGAGAAATCCTTTAATTAGATAATAATCTATTTTTATTAATGTATATATTTCAATACATTACATTGTGTAGATAAAAGTTGTTGACATTTTATAGATAAGTTACAAATCTATATTAGTTTGTGACAAATGAAAGAAAAAATATTTGGAACTATTAATTATATTTGATTATAATTTGAAAATAGATATACACTGTATTACATCATATCTAATCTTAGAGAACTATTAATCATATCTGATGTATTTTTCATCATGCTTATAAGATATTGATTGATAATTGGTATATATATAGTTTTATCGTGACAAGTTACAGATCAAGTTCAAATTTTTGTTTCGGTCTAATAATTTTGTGCAGAGTTATGGTCCTTGGACTTGAAAAATTCATGCATATAATCAGTTTTCCACACTGTTTTTAGTCATGCTTGAAGATATTGACATGATATTTACTTTTTGTTTACACCATGACAAGTTTTAGAACAAGTTAGCATTTTGTTCCAGTATAATGAATTTTTACCCGGTAGGGGACTATGTGTTGCCATGCAATACTCTCAGAATGCTTGTTACTCAGATAACATTAATGTGATATGTTAATTAAGTTATATTATATGGAATTCTATGGACCAGTTGCAGAGTAAAAGCTTTTAGAATGACTTACATTCCGTTGCTTTTTAAAAAGATGCCCAAAAAAGTAATAATTCTTTCAGGTTTGCTCTTTGCTCATTTCAAGGTTCATATTTGTTATTTCTTTTCAAGAAACTTAAGCGGATGTACATGTATCATATTGACTAAATGTATCAATCATTAGAAATTTACAGATGGCTGAAATTATTTTTAGAACCATTGATAAAAATTTATCAGATTTCTAAGAATAACAAGTACACATCAAATCAGACTATATTATATTGATATGTTTTTCAATTTTAAATGCTTAATTTTGTTTTGGTACCAAATATAATAATAAGAATTGTTCTGAATGGAAGATAGTTATCTCCCCTATAAGAAAACATTGATGTAATAACCTTGATATATATATATTCAGGATACCAGTTGTGACATTGATAGTACATATTGGTGGATTCTTGATATATGATTTTGACAGTCCAGGTAAAGATTATTTCTAGAAAATAGATTTAAAGCTTTGTTATACATGCATAACAAATTATGAATCATAGCTTAAACAGTTTATTATAACAAATTACATACTGTGGATTCATTATTATTCGTTGGATACCAATTTTCGTGGATTTCGTGGTTATAGGTTAACCACGAAATCAAATGTTCAACGAATGGCAAATTTACTATAGGCTTGTATGCAGACATTGTCAAAAACTACGAAATTAAATATCCACGAACTTGTAAGTTTTCCCTAATCCACGAAAATTGGTACCCACGAAAATAAATGAATCCACAGTATCTGACATGAATATTTAGTTTGTCAAAGCCTGTGCTTTTCATTTCCTAGACCTAAATTTAATTAAATTTCTATTTTAGCATATTTATGGTGTAAATTTCAACAGTTTATGAGAAAAGCTCAACAAAAACAGTTTATTCACTATTTTACATGTCTATGCATCAACTTGAAACATTTGTAATCTTGAAACAAAAAACCTAATAAGCGGGGCCAAATATGGTTCCTACAAAACTTACTTCTTTTCTGAATTTTCTTTCCATAGAAGATTCATTGCAAAATATAGAGTATTGGAAATGTCAAACATATATATTTTTTCCAGATGACAGCAATAAGATAGGAATATTGTTTGAGGCAATTATATGGAGATTGTTAATACAGGGTTGTATCCAGCCATTGACTGCAGTGTTGGTTGGCAGTATTGGTTGTCCTCTAAGTTCTCTGGGCATTACGCTCTGTAAGTACCAAAACCCTGTCATAGTCTGCGCTTTGGAACTGACATTCTGTAAAAGATAAGGATCATTCAGCCTTTTTTTTTGTCTCAGATTTTCATAGTTATCTAAATGATGATGTCATTATTAGTTGGATAAATATAGCAACCAACTTCAACGATTTAAACATAACAGTTCATGTTCTAATTTTGCATTCAGTTTTTCATCGCTTAAAATATCTCTCCAATTGTTAAAAAAATTATTAATTTCAATCTATTTTTCCATTGCTTTAAAATGATTTCCTTGAAAATACACAACATCTTTAAAAATGAAGATAATGAAACATGGAGTAATCCAAGAACTTTTGAAAGAGGAAAAACAATTTTGATGTTTTGATATTGTTCAAGACCTCCTTATGTTCTTGTTAAAAAAAATCAATCTTTCTAACTGAAATTTTTTGTTGTTGATAATGCTCTGTTAAAAACTTTTAATAAATTTACCTTTAGCTACAGTGATCATTTCCAAAATTTAGTTATTAATGCAGTCATCGCGGTATGACATCTTCAGATTGAATATTTTTCTAGTTTTCATCATTATGGCAAGTTTTATATTAAAATTTTGAATAATTCTTTGTAAAATTTTGATAATCTTGCAATTGCTCTCTTAAATTATTGTGGGTTAATTTATAATGAGAGCTCTGATTTAACCAATTTATATTTGATGTTTGAAACAAAGCTTAAAAAACTTTTGCGTGCTATATTTTAAGGTTTTCACATTATAGAAATAATCACTATATGATAGAATGTTTATATAGTTCTAAGGAATTCAAATTGAAACATAAAGGGATACTAAAGTTGTTACTGTGGATTCATTATTATCGGATACTAATTTTCTTGGAATTTGCGGATAGAAGCATACCGCGAATTAAAAATGTTTAAGGAAGTATAGATTTACTAAAGGTTTGAATGAAAACTTTGGCAAATCCATGCAAGTACAACATTTCTTTTTCTTCAATTTACAAAATTTGATACTCATGCACTCACGAATATAAATAAATCCACAATAATCCACAGTAATCAACAGTAATCCACAATTTGATTTTTTTAAGTAATTGTAAATTGACCTTTATTTTGATTTTCAGTCGGGTTATTAAGAAGGACATGTCGTGGATTTTGGGATACTATTATATATTATATTGTAATCAAGCCTAGAGCCAGAGTACCATCGAATGATAGTTTTGTAGCTAGGAGAATTGCAGGTCCTGGCTTAGCAGCAGACTTCTTCTATCAGGTATAACAATTTATACAAAATGTGACTTTTATAGTTTTGGAAAAAAAGTTTTGTATATGAGATTTTGCATCATAGTATTAAGCTTTTCTCCATATCTAGTTGTATACCAGTTTTCATAGATTTTGTGGGGAAAGGTGAACCAGAAGCTTATATGTTCAATGAATCACAAATTTTCTGTAGGAAAGTATGTAGACTTTAGCAAAATCATGAAATGAAATATCAAAGAAAATGCAAATTTACTCAATCCACTAAAATTGGCACTTACAAAAATAAATTAATTCACCGTTATTAAAAATATCCAATACTCTTGGTATTAAATTTATTTTGCGAATCTCAAAATGCACAAAAATTGTTGCCTCACAGTACTGTTTAAAGAACCTCTTCAGGATAAAAATTAATTATAAACAACAATGATGGGTTGAACAAGAAATAAAAAATATGTAAGAGTATTTTATTGTTGCCACCTGGTAATGTACTGTACAGAACTGCTGTAGCTAGTCTTATAAGAAGAACCTTTTGTGTAAGTCAGTTGGCATACTGAGTTCTAAAAAATATTGTTCAAGGATTGTCAAAATGAAATATGTATTGGACAAAACGTTTAGATAGAATTTGTCTTACCAGCAAGGTAGCAGATAATATAGAAGAAAAGAAAAATATTGTTCTTGAATATGACTAGAGTTATCTCCCATATTACAGTTTTTCAGTACAAACAAATACTTAACTTTGAATGTGACTAGAGTTATCTCCCATTTTTCCAGGTTACAAGAGGGCAATATAATAATGCATTTTCTGTAGGGTACCAGAGGTGTTCCATATATTAATTCTTGAAGAATAAATAAACTAGATAAAAATGGGTAACAATTCGTGTAACTAGAAATGTCTGTACTTTATTACAGACAATAAAGCTGTTGAAAAAATAATATCCATTTTTATGCCCCCGCCATAGCAGATGGGGCATTAAGTGTTACCCTTGTCAGTCCCGTCCCGTAAGTACATCCCCAAAATTGGTTTCCATTCTCTAACTTTAGTTTGCCTCAACAAAATGTTATAAAACTTATACACAATGCTTATTACCACAAAACGCAGATCAAGTTTCGAAATTGAGTGGTGTCACTTTTACTGTTCATGAGTTATGCCCCTTTATAAACATAAAAAATTGCAGAATTTTTTATTTCTGTCCTCTAACTTTGCCTAAACAAATGTTATGAAACTTATACACAATGCTTATTACAACAAAACACAGATCAAGTAACTTTAAAGTTTTTGAGTTATGCCCTTTATAAGTGGAAAAATTGCTAAATCTGTCGTTTCCGTTCTTTAACTTTAGTTTGCCTCAACAAAATGTTATGAAACTTATACACAATGCTTATAATCACAAAACAGTCTTAGCAACGTGAATCCTGCATCTTTATGGAAGTTGACTCATGCATATTTACAAGTGGGGGCATCTGTGGCCCATAGACACATTCTCCATTTATTTTCACTTAAGATGGAAAAGGCAAATTTTCAATGTTTCCTTCGTGAATACTATAAATACATTTTCTACACTTTGTTAAATATGATTAAAATTTTCTGGATTTTTTAAACCTTAATGGATAATAATTCCAACCCTGTATAATCCAATCAGGAGTTAAACAACATTTTATTCTGAGTATGTATGATCTTGGGGTAAAAAAGTTGCTAGTAAAATGTAAAGAAAAAATTGCTCTCCATTTTACCTTAAATAATATACTTCAATATGACTAGAAGTTCCCATATTTCCATATTACAGCCTGCTGTTCAATAATTTGAAAATTCTGCTTAACATTTTATTATGTACCTTTGTACAAGAAAGGTTTATTGAAAGTGTCTTTATTGACGTTTTTTAACTGATAGTTATACCTGGTCTTTTTTGCAGATTGAACCTGAACAAGCTCTAGCAGCATTTGAAAGTATGCTTGAACGAGAAGAATTAGAGGCATGGAAACATCATATGTCCAGATTGATAGATCAACCAAAAGAAGATTTCAAGTAAGAACTTTCTACATGTTTTTTCTTAGGTAAAACATGATTTTTGTCTGATTGCAGTTTGCGAGACATAGGTATTACTATCCGGTGGCGGCGTAAACTTTTTGTATAAAGCTTTATATATCAGGAATTTGAAGACCTGGATGCTTCATACCTCGTATGCAGGTACCTTATGTTATGAAGTTTCCGTCTGTCATATGCCCATTGTCCTTGACCTCATTTTCATGGTTCAGTAACTGTTTGAAAAAAAATTACAGTTTTTTTGTCATGTGAATTTCTCACTTATTATGAGTAATAGGATAACTATATTTGGTATATGGGTTCCTTGCAACGTCTACATGTCCTTCAGACAGGGTTAACCTGGCCTTGACCTCAATTCATGGATCAGTGATTAGGTCCGTTTCTCAGATACTACAAGCAGCAGGTCAACCATATGTGGTGTATGGAATGATTGTAAGGGGTACATGTCAGGCTAGCAGGTTTCATCTGACCTTGACCTCATTTTCATGGTTCATTGGTCATTATTAATTTTTGTCTCGCCTTGACGGAGTCAAAAAGCGAGACATAGGTATGCTGTTTCCGCCCCCTTAGTCATGGTCTATAGACTTTGAAAATTTTGCTAAGTTTACATGTATTAGTTTGTGATTAGGTCAGTTCAAGGGGAACCATTAGTGGTACGCCATTGTTAATTGGTGTTCAGTTGTATAAGCATTAGCACATCTCATTTCCATGGAGAATATTTGGCCCCGCCCCCTCAGTCATGGTCTATTCACTTTGAAACTTTTGCTTAGTTTACATGTATTAGTTTGTGATTAGATCAGTTTAAGATGAACTGCTAATGTTAAGTCATTGATATTTGGTATGCAAATTTATTGGCATTTGCAAGTATCGTTTCCATGGAGATTATATAGCCCCACCCCTGATCATGGTTCATTGACTTTGAAACTTTTACATAGTTTACAAGTTAATGTTAGTGTTTAGGTTTGTTTAAAGGGAACGACTTATGATAAGTCAATGGTATTTGGTATGCAGTTGTATTAGCAATGGCACATCTCATTCCATGGAGATTGTTTAGCCATGTACCTTAAGTCATGGTTCATCGACTTTGAATATTTGCATAACTTACATGTTTTTTATCAAAATTACAAAAAGGCGAGACATATCTCTGTGATAACAGTTTATTTGTGTTTTGGTCTGTTTTTCAAGTACTGTAAGCAATAGGTTAACTATTTTTGGTGTATTAAATGATTGTAAGGTGTTCATGTCTGTCTAGCTGGTGTCATCTGACCTTGACCTCATTTTAATGGTTCATTGGTCAATGTTAAGTGTTTGTGTTTTGGTCTGTTTCAAGCACTTTAAGCAATAGGTCAACTATATTTGGTTTATGAAATGATTATAAGGTGTACATGTCTGTCTAGCCGGTGTCATCTGACCTTGACCTCATTTTCATGGTTCATTGGTCAATGTTAAGATTTTGTGTTTTGGTCTGTTTTTCAAATACTTATAACAATGGGTCAACTATTATTGGTGTATGGAATGATTGAAAGGTGTATATGTCTGTCTAGCCAGTATCATCTGACCTTGACATCATTTCTATGGTTCATTGGTTAACATTAAGATTTTGTATTTTGGTCTGTTTTTCAATTACCATATGCAATGGGTCAACTATATTTGGTGTATGGAATAATTGTAAGGTGTACATGTCTGTGTGATAGTTTTTATCTGACCTTGACCTCATTGTCATGGATCTTTAAAAATTGTAAGTTTATGTGATATTTGTAGTAAAACCTTTATCTTTAAGACTTTCAACATAAAATCAATGGTCAGTAAAACAGGCGAGACATTTCAGCATGTGCACTCTTGTTTAAAGTAGCCATTGCATAAGCATGTGATGACAACGGTCTGGGAATGGTAGAAATCTATTTGCTGTTTATAAACACCATGTACTTTTCAAGCTATAAATAGTATGATAGAAAGCTGTGTTCAATCATTAATCACCGAATATTTTCGTAGTTTTATATTGTATTGTTAAAAGCTACATTCTGATTAATGTCCAAGTAGAACTCTTATAAATAGTATAGTAGAAAGCTATATTCTGTCTTTAATCACTAAGCTACTTGTGTAGCTTTATATAGTCATTCAGCTTCAATGTTATATTCTGTAGTTATGCTTCTCTTGTCTGTAGTGGACACTCTCGCAAGTGGAGTATTTCTTTAGTTCATTATATAGAGCAATGGTTTGCTCTTCCAGTAATCTTATACTTGATTCAATGTGGTACTTCAGGACATTTTTATAGGTAGTAAGATCATGCTTTTTATGCACCCTCCATAGGCAACGGGGCATTAAGTGTTACCCTTGAGCGTCAGTCTTTCTGTCCTGTCTTTCAGTCTTTCTGTCTTTCCTTCAGTCCCATTTTGTTGCGAAGCTAGAGCGGGGCTTTTATTTTACAATTCAAATCATAATTTTCTTTTGATAGTCAAATAAAAGCCAGCCTTATATTTTCTTTTGATAGTCAAATAAAAGCCAGCCTTATATGTTTGTTACCCTACATGTTTGTTTTCTGGTTTTAAGTCTCCAATTCAATATGTTATCAAAAGAATTTATGATTTTACATCTTACATGTATACTCAAAGATAAATAATTCAGCTTTAAAATGACTGAATAATGTATATGTAAAGCCATTTTAAAAAAACTTATCAATTTACAATAAAAATTTTGGATTTGTATTTTAAATGAAAGATTTGAACCTTACTACAGTCAGATTAAAAAAAATTTATATCTTTAAAATAAATTTTGATGATAATTATTAATAAAAATATTTTTCCTGATTAAAAAACAAATAACAAACAAACTATGCCATCTACAGAATTTATCTCTCAGTGATCGTATATTGAATTTGAATTACCTCCCTTGAATATCTTTTAATTTTAGAGTTAGAATTTACATGATTAACCAATACTTTACAGTGGCTTTGTGACTGATCTTAAAAGAATTGCCAAAATCATCATTAGTCTGTCCTTTTTTCCTATTTTGCTAAATATTTTTACAGTCTTATGGATTTTTTTATTCATTCAATTGAAATTATTAAAGACTGTTCAAAGTCCACATTGGATAATCAAAAACCTTTCCAATTTTTAAAAATAGTCAAATTATGTCAAAACCTTATTTGTGTATACAGTATGAAGAGCACAAGATACCTCACATGTTTCAATAATTGAATTTATGTTACAATGTAATTGTAAAAATTTTAAACAATTATAATTTATTTTAAAAATACATCAGGTTCTATGCAAATTTATCTTTGACGGTAAAGCTGGAAAAAAGAAGTAGGAAAGTTTTGTAACAAGTTGCTGGTTCAGTTTGATTGATATCAAAAAACAAAATTGCAGTTGAAAAAAAATTGACAGGTTTTTATTATCAGATATGTCAGTGTTTGGTTTGAATAAGCTCTGTATTTCAGGGAAAAGTAAAAAAATGTGAAAAATGGACAGACATCAGACATCAACAAGAACATAAAAAATAATTCTTGATATGTTATTTACATTAGTCTAGACAAAATAAGACACAAAAGATGATATTGTTATGATGAGCGGGAAACAAATATACAATATTATAATGAATATTGTTTGATTGAAATTTTCTGTTATAAAATTTTGAAAATAATTTAAAAAAAAAAGAATATATCTCCCTCATGCATAATTCTGATTCCATGTCCAGATTTTGTTTTATCAGCTCTTGAACATTTGTATGCTGATTTGGATTTTCAAAATTTTGGCATCGAACATCACTGAAGACATTAATTGTTAAAATGGGCAGGTACAGTGAAATTTTTAAAAATTAATGTTTAGGGTACATATCTTGTAGGGAAATTAATTATCACAAAATGAATATTTAAGAGGTATGAACAAAATAATGGGAAATATCCCGTGATGAAGTATTGTTTGAATATGGATAAAAGGAGATGTAGGTTATTTACCAAAAAGACAACAACATCATTAAGTACATAAAGTTCAACGTACTATCTTCAATGATAAACAAAAGTCCATACCATATGTCAAGCCCTAAATCATTCCTGGTCTAGACAAAGAGGGTTTTTTTTTTAATTTTTTATAGTCTTTTTGCAATTTTTTCCCTGTGTTTCATATATAAATTACAAAGAACAATCAATTTGTTTTTATAATGGGATAAAAATCATGAAATTAACATGTTTATAGAATAATTAATTATCTTGAACTACAATTCTTGAATTGTTTTGAATTTTTTCTGCACTTTCTGTTTCCATTTCCTTTTCAAATTGTCTGAAACTGGGACTATTATATGAAATTATCTAGGTTTTGAAGTACAAAACCTTGGCATTTTACTGAACACTGAACATGGATTTCAAAAGATTTGATTTTACGAAATCATTTGAAGGTGTACAGGTATTCATACCTGGGGCCATTTGATGACTAAATGACTGTAGATGTCAGATAATTTTCTTTAGATCAATCACCTGTGATTTATTATTGCACATTTCCCATATTTCATAATCTTAAAAAATTCTAATTGTAAATTTTATGTAGGCTTTATTGAATTATTAAAGTAAACACATGAATTGCTTTTCATAGTTGAGAAAGTTAAATTTGTCAAAATTAACTTTAAACCCATATTTCTGTATATTATTGCCTTTAATGATGTGTGTGTTTAAAAGATACGGTGGGCATTAAATGAGGATGGCGAACCAGATTATAGCTAGGGATGGATACTCATGAACAGTTTTGATTTTTGACAGGTGTATGGTAGATTTGGAAAAGAAATACTGAAAAAAAATATTTTGTTGAATTCTATAAACCAATTGTATAAATATTAAAAAAAAAAATTTTTGGTAGATTTTGAGTATAATTTGTGACCTTAGCCCCAATTTGTTTTTCCTTAGACCCTTTAGTATTATGGTGCTATTATAGCTATTTACCCTGATCTTATCTGTAATGAATATTTATAACAATTTTCTATTAATAGAAATG